GGCCAATTCGGTCACTTACTAAGTTCTATGTTGTGGATGTGGATGTGGCTTACCATGCTTTGCTTGGAAGGCCATGGCTCAACAAGCATAAGCTTGTGGTCTCTACCTATCATCAATGCGTAAAAGGAAGGATTGGGCTGAGGCCGCTACGCATACCTGGAAACCAAGCACCTTTCAACAAAGATGAAGCTCACTACTCTGAAGCAGAGTTCTACACTGAATGCACAGGTGCTGGAAGCAATCCATCCAAGGATTTCGGGACCTACCTTCCTTCATGGACTGAAATTCGTGATTTAAGCAATGAGGAGCTCATCACCATTGTCGATCGAGAGAGAAAGAGGCACTCGGAAGTCAACAACCATGCCTATGATCATCCCCAATGCTCAAAAGTGACGCTGCCCGATGGACGTATCGTGTACCGCTTATGACGGGGTTGGGGGCTTGACCGTGTCTTACGGGAAAGCCCCGAGTATGGAGGAAAAGTAATGCAAACAAATAGCTGTGGGAGTTCCAACGACAAGGCACCCTTGCCTTGTGCTTTCCAGGAGCCAATGGCAGCACCCAGACACATGCAAGATGGATCGTCAGCAGTAGCTGAGCAGCTGGAAACAATTGATTTGAGTGAGGATCCCTCTGCCCCGAGGCCCATTTCCATAAGTGTTCATTTAACAAATGAGGAGAGGGCGGCCTTGATATCTTTGCTAAAGGAATTTCGAGATGTGTTCGCTTGGAGCTATGAGGAAATGCCTGGTCTGAACCCAAGCTTAGTAAGTCATACTCTGAATATTGAGCTTGGTACAAAACCTGTCGTGCAGGCAAGAAGGAATTTTCATCCTGAAGTTGAGAAGCAAATCAAGGTAGAAATTGAAAAGTTGTTAGCTGCCGGATTTATTAAACCAATCAAGCATCCTACGTGGCTAGCAAATATTGTCCCTGTGAAGAAGAAAACCGGTGTGATCAGAATATGCACGGATTATCGAGATCTCAACCGAGCTTGCCCAAAGGATGAGTTCCCGCTGCCAAACATGGATATCTTAATTGATTCGACCTCGGGTCAAGGCTTGTTGTCATTCATGGATGGGTTTAGTGGCTACAATCAGATCAAGATGTCTCCCAAGGATGCTGAAAAGACAGCCTTTCGAACACCGTATGGGAATTTTTATTATACGGTCATGCCGTTCGGCCTCAAAAATGCTGGCGCCACCTACCAAAGAGCTATGACAGCGGTGTTTCACGACATGATGGGAAAAGAAGTTGAAGATTATGTGGATGACCTTGTGGTGAAGTCCAAAACCAGAGAAGGCCATCAAGAAGTTTTAAGGAGAGTGCTGGAAAGGTGTCGGCTGTACAGTTTGAAGATGAATCCAAAGAAGTGTGCGTTCGGGGTTTCATCTGGTAAATTCTTGGGGTTTCAAGTACACCAGCGTGGCATAGATGTGGATCCAGAAAAGACTAAAGCCATAAATTCTCTTGCACCGCCTAAAAGCCCAAAAGAATTGAAAAGCTTTATGGGAAGATTATCGTATATTCGGCGCTTTATCCCAGGCCTTGCTGCCACCATGAGTGCTTTTACTCCATTGCTCAAGAAAGGCAAGAGGTATGAATGGAGTGAGAAGTGCCAAGAAGCTTACAAGAAGGTGCAACAAATAATCGCCAAGCTGCCCACTATGAAAGCACCTATTCCGGGGCTGCCTCTCAAGCTTTATTTGGCTGCAACAAACACAGCGGTTGGGGCCTTACTTGCTCAAGATGATCATAGTGGGGAAGAAAGTCCTATTTATTACGTAAGTAGGCAACTAAGGGGATCTGAAGTAAGATATCCGAAAACTGAACTTTTGTGCCTTGCTCTTGTCTATGCTGCACAGCGCTTGCGACATTACTTCCTTGCTCACAAGCTACATCTCATGGTGAAGTCTGATCCCGTAAGATATTTGCTTACAAGGCCGATATTATCCGGACGCCTTGCACGTTGGTTGCTACAGCTGTCCGAGTTCGATATCACCTGCACTACTCCAAAAGCCATCAAAGGGCAGGCCGTTATTGACATGTTGGCTCTATTTCCCGAAGTTGAAGAATCAACAATCTCTAAGGAAGTTCTGGGGGAGCTGCCGGAAATGGTTGCTGTTGTCACAGAGGCAGAACCATGGACCCTCTACTTCGATGGGTCTTCTACATCGAAGAGTGGAGGGGCAGGTGTGGTGCTTGTCAATCCCGAGGGGCAAGCTACGGCCCTCTCGTTTAAGCTAAATTTCCCATGCACGAATAATACGGCAGAGTACGAAGCTTTTATTGCAGGGATGTCTACAGCAAGGGAAATGGGTGTCGAAAGAATTAAAATTATTGGGGATTCAAACTTGGTGCTGAGTCAATTACAAGGAAATTTCGCCGTGAAGGAACCAGCATTGGCACCATATCGTACAGCTGCTGAAAGGCTTGTTCGTTCGTTCAAACAAGTTGTGTTGGAACATATCCCGGGAGTCACTAATAGATATGCTGATGCGTTGGCCACTTTGGGGTCGAGGCTCTCATTTATTGACGAACAGCCCAATATTGCAGTAATCAAGAGGGACATACCAGTTGTTGAAGCAATGGCTCAAGAGGAGCGGCTGGAAGAGGATGACTGGAGGAAGCTTGTGAAAGAAAAAATAGGCAAAGGAAGCAACATCAAAGAATTGAAGGATTATGTGATCATCTTTGGGGAACTGTACAGACGCCTTCCGGGAGGTATTTTGACCCGCTGCATAGGGATAACAGAAGCACAGGAGAAGCTTCAAGAGGTACATGAGGTCACTTGCAATTTGGAGCCAATAATCAGCTTGTACCGGCGCCTGCAGCGCAAGGGTTATTACTGGCCAGAAATGAGGAAACAAGCAGCTGAAATACAAGCCAATTGTCCCAAGTGTGCAAAAATACCTTCCACCGAGGAATCGTTCACCGTCTCATTTGCGGAGGATTGGAGGGCTCCATACTTGGCATCCTTCGTCAATGGAGTCCTGCCAACCAATCCCAAGCATGCACGCAAGCTCAAAAGGACAATGAAAAGATACTTCATAGATGGGTCAACTCTTTACCGTAAGGGGTTTAATGGTGAGCCATTAAAATGCTTGGGAAAGTCTGAGGCACAGCAAGTCATGCAAGAGATTCATGCTGGAGAATGTGGTGAACACCAAGGAATGAAGAAGCTTTACCGGCAGCTGCTGAGTGTTGGGTATTATTGGCCTACAATGAAGAATGATGCATACGACTTTGTGAAGAGGTGTCACACATGTCAAGTTCATGCCAATTTAAGCCATAAGCCTCCCACGCTGCTGCAAGACATGCGCACCCCTTGGCCCTTCCATACTTGGGGGCTTGATTTGATCGGGACCATCCATCCACCATCCGACAGCTACATATGGATCCTCACGGCCACCGAATATTTCACAAAGTGGGTAGAAGCGGTTCCCTTGCGGAAGGCCACGGGAGCTGCCGTTGCCAATTTCATCCGTGAAAATATTGTATGCAGATTTGGGATCCCATACAAGATTGTCACTGACAATGGCACCCCGTTTGTCAATAAGCAAGTAAGCTCGACACTTAGTGGTTATGGTATCAAGCATCGCCGCTCCACGCCTTATTATCCACAAGGAAATGGTCAAGCGGAAGCCACAAACAAGACTTTATTGAGGATCCTAAGCAAAATGGTTTATGAGTATGAAGGAGGTTGGAGTGTTCACCTGCCGGATGCTTTATGGGCCTACCGCACCTCTTCAAGAAGTGCCACAGGTTTCTCGCCATATTCACTCGTGTACGGGTCCGATGCCATTTCACCAGTAGAGATTACCATCCCCACTGCCAGAACAGCAGCTGTTAACGACCTCGAATGGGATACAAAGTCATGCTCGGAATGGCGCCTGCTGGACCTTGAAGCCTTGGATGAAAAAAGAGCGGTAGCCGAAAAGAAGACAGCATTGTACCACAGAACCGTAGCTCAAGCCTATAACAGGACAGTCAAGCCTCGCGCCTTCAAGCAAGGAGACCTCGTGCTAAAAGTTGCGGAGCATGTGAGAAGACAAGTGTCGGGACCTTCCAAGTTTGCGCCACAATGGGAAGGCCCGTTTGCAGTCAAAGAGGTTCACAGCAGCGGCTATTATCGCTTGGTCTCTGTCAAGGAAGGCACGCTAACCGACCCCGTCAATGGGAAGTGGCTCAAGCTCTATTACTGCTAAGTTAACTTTATGCCTAGTACTTTTGTATTCTCTTTCTGTCAAAAAAAAAGACTCCTTCTGTCTTATTTTCACGTTTTGGAAAAAAAGACACTTTTGTATGATGCACCATTATGGTAGCAAGGGCTTTTGCAATGAAGATGAAGGAATATTTTGAAAAATATATATTGTGTCTCCAAAACCTTACTATTATTAACCCTTTATCAAATTTTCCATATATATATATATATATAAACATGCTACTTAGCAGTAAAACATGCCGGGCAAAGTCATTTAGATGGGGTCCCCAAGCATCACGCTTAAGCAAAAAAAAATAATAATAGCATAAGGCATAGAAACATGCAATTCTGAGATGCTGGAACGATACGATATAACACCTGGAAGCTTTATAAAGCTCGGCTAGAAATCATGCACATGTTGGATCGACCCTTTGGGAAAGGTGGGAAGCTATTTTGTCAAGCTTAGAATCTAGATAAGCCATGCAAAAGAAGCTTTCGAAGACTCGGTTTCTAAAAAAAAATTTGACAGCATATACCCTGTTTTCAATGATATCCAACCTGTCAAAATGTCAAGCAGTCCATAAAGACAATTCTGGCCAACAAAGCAGTATATATACATATCTACACCGGAAATATGCAACATGCCTCAAGCATTCAGAAATTCATACAAGCTTCGGTAGTTTAATATCAAAATTACAAAGGCATAACGACGTAGTCGTTAGAGTCTCAAAAGAAAAAAAAACAACACTACAAACAAAGCAAAATAAAGCTGCATCTGCTGAAGGTTCACGCGCCCTTAAGTCACGAAGAAAAGCAGGATCACGAGCCAAGCTAAATGGTCACTAAGCCAAGGATGGGCAATCTGCAAAAGATAAAAGAAAATGTGTGTAAAAAAATGGCTGCTGCTGGAATACGTAATAAAAAAATATAATGGATGAGCTGAGTACCTGTAGGCTATGGGGAATGTCCAAAAAGAACAAAGGAAGCCCCAGGAGATAATCTGGCTGCTGCCTCCGTCACGCACTCAGCGCTGTCAACAGAAACTCCCTTAGCAAGAAGAAGGGCATGCATCTCCCGGCGCTGGTTTTCAAACTCTTGCTGTTTAATATTCAAGGCGTTTGCAGCGGCTTTTACTTCATCGGAATCATGCGATAATTGCATACTACGAATGGCCCGTGCTCCAAAAACGGCACGTGCTAAGCTCTTCACGAGTTTAAGGAGAAATTCCACAGGGAAAGCCCAGAATCATGGCCTCGCATATTGCATCTCGCCAACAGAGCAGTTTATGATCTGTAATATCAAGGAGTTGCATGGTGTCCATCCCATGAAGTACTAAGCCAAGCGCTCGAAGGGCAGTACCCCTTGAGAAAGAGGAGGTGACATCTGTAGCTTCCAGCAAACTCCCGTATTTGTCCATGAACTTTTTCAAGGCTCCAACCGTCTCTGGATACACAAGGGCGCCTTGGAATGTTGCATAACCATCGAATCTGTGGCAAAGCGGAAGAAGTTCATCAATGGATCTAAGAATGGTGACACCACCATCAAAGAAGGCTTTGAATGCCGTGTAGGAATTCTCCCAATCTTGCCAAGACATGCCTTTCTCGAATGAAGGCCCTTTTGAGGAACCTGCGATAAAAGCACCAACATTCTTATCACAGAGATGTGCTGCTGGAAGAGGTGGAACGGTGCCGGAAGCTATGTCAGGTGTGCTCGAGATTGGGAGAGTAGGGGATGTGCTGCTGGAAGAAGTAGAGCAGTGCCGGAAGCTATGGCAGGTACGTTCGGAATTGGAGAAATAGGAGGAGGAACTGTTGGAAGTAGTGGAGAGGCATCAGCAGCCATGTCAGGAGTACATGGGTTAGGAGAAGGAGGAGGTTGCACTGCCGGAAGGCTCAGGACAACTTCAGCGACAGTAGTGGGAAGGGCAAAATCAGCCTCTGATGAAGCACCTATTGTGCCTTCAATGGCGGGCACGACCTGCAGAAGAAAGACGGAGTATGAACTAGAGGACACAACGGGCAGCATGCAATGTCAATATTCCAAGCAAAACAAGCAAGAAGGATATTTGATACCAGTTCAATATCGACACGCTGTCCATGATCGCCAGTCAAAGCGGGAGTCGTATCTGGGTCATCGAACTCCCCCAAGCTAGTGCCGAAAGCCGGATAGGTGTCTTCGTCGTGACTATCGTATTGGCCTTCATCAAAGTCCTCGTCCATGCCACTCGTATCGTGAGCACTCTCTTGCTCATGAATGTTAGCCTTAGTTCCCGCAGCGCCATCGCCATCACTATCATCATCACTGTTATCATCAACAGTCACCACTACTTTGGGTCCCGAGTCTTCACCCTTATTCTTTCGGGTATTAGCAAACCGCGTTTCAAGAATACGCATGCTTCGACGTTTCGGGGTCGCGGAAAACCCCTTACCCTTGCCTTTACTTTGGGAAGTACCTGCAAAATAAGATGAAAGGGATACTTATATATACGCAAAGAGCGGGGAACAAAGGGAGCAAACAAATAGCAATACTTACTGTGAGGAGATGAAGCTTTGGGAGCTGCTAGCTCGCTGCTGCCGGAAGCTGTAGGCTGCTGCTGTAAGGACTCGGGCAAGGCAACCTTTCTTGAGCTGGGAGGACCACCTGCCGCTACCTTGGGGATGAACCTTTTCGGTTCTTTCACAGCTTGCCTTTTCTCGGCGCTGCAGCTTTCCTCACGCTTCCGTTTCCCATGTGCAACACTCTTCCCGGCACTATGAGAACCCGACTTTTCCAACTTCCGCTTTAGCTTCGAAAAATCACCAACAATTTCTCCACTCTTGGAGATAAAGGGCAGATTTCGCTTCTCGCTCAAGGAAATGGCTTTCTCTTCCGACACTAAACGGGCATGATGAATGACGGTGGGAATCAAGCTATCACAATGGGCAGCATGGAATCGGCTGAACGAGGCAAAGCAGCGGTTCCAATAATTTTGGTAGGCCTTTGAGAGACCACCAACGCGTTTCCGGCTGGCCAGAGCAAGGGCAAGAGGCCTGCCGTCTCCCGGCACGCTGTCACCAGTCCAGAAAACCCTGTGCAAGCTCGAGGAATCTCCATGGTTGGGAGAAGAGGGCACACCTTGGTCAAACCCAAGCTGTCGTCTAACCCGGTAAGGGGAATAATGCACAGAAGTCTCCAAGTGGTCATCACCGAATGTGGGCAGAGGGAGGCATGCGGCACTCAACAATGCCTCTCTGCGTAACCGACAACCTTGTGTTGGCGTGGCCAGGGCCTCCATTAAAGCAGCAGAATCAGCATAGAAGGGCATACTTCTAAAGCCCTCTGATGAGGCACAATAGGGGCGAAAAATAAATTGCTCAACATCGTCCAGCAGCTCTAAAAAATTTTGGCCCTTCCGTTGCATGCGACGGAACCATCTACAGATCAGAGGAAGACTACCCGGCACGTAGGAATCCTCGTCCGAAGCAACCAGTGACTCAGCCTTTGAATAAGGGAGTGGAGATACCTCTATCCCTCTGAAGCGTTCCCATAAAAAGATCTGCAGAAAACTGGAATTTACAAAAGTCTCCACAGCCATGGTTCCGGCCGCCCCCTTCTCAAGAAATTGAATCTGGTCAAGCAAGCGATATAAGTGCCCCAAGAACATGGGGGCTAAAGGGATCATGCTACCTCGTGCTATTGCCAAAGCCAACGGAAACACTCTCCCATGCAAGCAGTCTTGAGAAAAATCACAAAAGAGGAACCTCCCGAGCCACAAGGACACGAACGCAGCAAGGCGACACGGCTCGTCTCGATCACTGTTCCCGAAAAACTGAATCCAATTACTGAATCTCAGAGAGGTACTAGGAGAGGTCGGAGCACCCTTCCGCAAAGTTTCAAGCTTTAGCCCATCTTCCGGGGTTAATGCAATATGGAAAGGGTCTTGGCTGCCGCAAAGTGGGAGATGGAAAATATTAGCTACATCCTCAAGCGTGGGAGTGAACTCTCCCCACGAACAAATAAAAGTGTGCGTCTCAGTGCTCCACCGTCTAACCAAGTGTCGAAGCGTCTTGGCTTCAATATGGATGTCGCAAGCCTTAGAAGCAAAGATGGCTTCCAACACGCCTGCCCGGCTTAGGATATCACGGGTAGATGGGCTCTTCAGTTCAGCATCAACCCACTCCGACCAACCCTTGCTGATGCTGCAGGGATATTGAAAGAACAAAGGAACTGCCGGAAACAGACCCCTTTCTATGCAGCACCTTGATACGGATGCAGGATCAATCACTGAAGTAGCTTCTGGCGCTGGTTCTTCATCAATGATTACATCCTCGTCGGCACCCTTGAGCAAAGGAGGAGGTCTCCCTCTCTTCAACCTGTCATCTACGGAGTAAAGATGATCCCTTATGATAAATGGTGGATTACCGGATGCCATAATGGGTACCTGCGCATAGAAATATGGAAAGAAGCAAAATAGAATCAGCACACGTAAAATACGTGGCTAGTTGAGTTTATCCAAGCAAACATGCAATTTAAAATTCAAGCTCATGACAAGTAAGAGTCTCGCTTTGTGATCAACAAGCAGGACAAGCAAGTCCCTTCTCAGAATAAAAATAAAAAATAAAAAAATTCAGCCAGGCAGTACAAAACATGCACTCTGTCAATTATTTTCCTCCACAGGCAACACACGCAGAATTCCATAATCGATCAAGCATGTGTTCTCAAGAAAAGAAAAAAAAGAGAGCCTAGGCCAAGCATCAGTCTACACCTATTCTAAAATACTCAGAGTTAGCAGAGTTATTGCCAAAGTCTAAGTTAGAAGACTGAAGAGTTTGAAGGTTCCAGCAGCAAAATGTCAAGGGTTTCCAGCACCTACCTATGCCCAAAATGCGTGTACCTGCACAAAAAACAAACAAAGGGAAAGCACGTCATGCCAAATCAGCCCTTTACACACAAAAGGAGAAGCCCGTGCAAAATAAAAACGAAAAGAAGGGGGGAGAAACCCAAGCCAACAAGAAAGAAAAAAAAATTTACCTTTCCGGCAGCTCGAGCAAAATCAACGAAGGAAGAAACCTAGACAATGGCGCAGACCCTTCCTTGCTAGCACCCACTCCGTGAGCACTATTGGTGCAGTGGAAACAAGATGGGTAGAAAAGGGGTTTTGGGTATTTGGCTGCCAAAACAAAAGACAACATCTATGGGTATGAGAAACCCAACAAATTCTCCAATCAATCTAAGGGAAAATTGGAAGAAAGAGAGGATACCTTGTTAAATCTTCCAAGGGATGACGTTGGATGCACCAAAAATAGAAGAAAACCAGGGATTTGAAGGCAAAATTCGCACAAAGGAGGACCTTTCCAGCAGCGACGAACGGGCTCCTTTGGAACGAAGATGGAACGACGGGGTCGGGTTCGACTTGGGTCTTCTTCTCAGCGGCTGGAGGTAAACAATTTTGGCCTGACTTCACTCTTTCAGTATATTTGAATTTATGGAGAAGAAAGAAGAAGAACGAAGGGAGGAGAGTTAGAGGGAAGTTTTGGTCTGGAGCGTGGAAAGGAGAAGGAAATTTTGGAAACCGATGTCTGATGCAAGAAAAGAGAAAGAAAAGGGAGGAAAATAATAAAATAAGGAGAGGAAGGCAGTTGGCGTTGGAAACTGCAAGTAACCACCGGGACCAATCATGGCACGCCGTCATTTTGCACGCGGGAAGAAGAAGAGTCCTATGCAAATACAAATCTGATTTTTTGGGTTGGGTTTAATTATTCGGCCCATTCCAGCACCTGTTCATGGCCCTTATAATTAAGGGGGCTAATGTTGAGGCCCAAAAAATCCATGGATTGGGCCCGAACAATTATCAGCCCAATACAATATTCCATAAGGGAAAAGAAAAAAGGGATCTATCGCATGCAAGTTATAACCCACACGCCACGCTAAATAAACAAATTATCATGCTATGATAAAATATAATCATGCTAAAAAATTAAAACAATCCTTCCCAAGGGCGATAAGGTAAAATATGCCGAGCAACATGCCATGCCGTTATCTCGCACCCAACCACGCTACAAGCCTAGGTGGGCCCAAGCCACTCAAAAAAGACCCGGGGCTTGCTTGAGTGGGTTGTGGCATGGATGGTGATAAATCAACATGAGGCCCATTGATGGACCAAGAAATGGAAAGTCTCGGGTTGCTTGGGAGCCTCGAGACTCAGGCCCATTTCTTAGGCCCAAACATGTGGGTAGGCACAAGAGAGAAAAAATAGCCCAAAAGCCCAAGCAAAATAACCTAGCCAAGAGATAACCCAACCAAAAATAATAACAAACCCAAATCAAGCCCAATAAGCCCATTCGCTTAAGAAAGCCATCTTGGCCCTTAGAAAAACCCAAAAAGGCCCACAAGAGCTTCAGCCTTTTTTTTGAAAAACAGAGAACACGTGAAGGAGTAGATGGCAGGCTCCTTAAGTAAGCTGCTGGAAACCAGTCCCAAGCCAGAGACATCCAAAGAACCGATGAATACCATCCTGCATGCTGTCAGAAGCATCCCTTGGACCAGCATACATTTGCACCTCCTTTCCTTCATCAGATTCAGCCAAAGAAGAAGAAAGAAAAGGAAGAAAAACAGCAAACTAAGAGTGGAAGCCCTCACTGCGTAGCCGCGGGAAAGAGGGATGTTGAGCCCCAAAATCTCCTAAATTCATGAAGATAGACAGAAGCCATCTTTGCCAAGAAAGGGAAGTCAGAGAAGGGGAGGAGAAAGGAAGAAAATCTCAGCCAAAGTAAGAAGGAGCCATTAGGGTTTTTTTTTTTTTTTTTTTTTTTTTTTTTTTTTTTTTTTTTTTTTTTTTTTTTTTTTTTTTTTTTTTTTTTTTTTTTTTTTTTTTTTTTTTTTTTTTTTTTTTTTTTTTTTTTTTTTTTTTTTTTTTTTTTTTTTTTTTTTTTTTTTTTTTTTTTTTTTTTTTTTTTTTTTTTTTTTTTTTTTTTTTTTTTTTTTTTTTTTTTTTTTTTTTTTTTTTTTTTTTTTTTTTTTTTTTTTTTTTTTTTTTTTTTTTTTTTTTTTTTTTTTTTTTTTTTTTTTTTTTTTTTTTTTTTTTTTTTTTTTTTTTTTTTTTTTTTTTTTTTTTTTTTTTTTTTTTTTTTTTTTTTTTTTTTTTTTTTTTTTTTTTTTTTTTTTTTTTTTTTTTTTTTTCTCCTACTAGTCTCGTCTATTGTCCTCTTTGGACGGTTGCCAGAAGTATTACCAGTAATTGCATTGTCAGTCTGCCTATCTGGCTTCTGCATGCTAGGGGCCATCCAAGAAGTTCCCCATTTGTTGTGTCCCTTTTGAACAATTTCAAATGTCCATAAAGGATTGTGAATGCAGTTGGTATTTGTTTAAGAAATCATCACTCATTCTGACTTTCCATTTATGCTGTTACTTTGTTTCATGTTATTTTTTTGTGTTATTTCTATACAGGCTATATCTCCAAGTGCATTGCCGCAGATATTCAAAAATGCATTGACTGTTCCCATACTTCTTGACATTATCAAGTGTGTGGCAACCTTTTTTGTGAAAGTAATGTTTATGTCTAATATGTATGTTTTCTTGTTGAGCTTGATAAAATGCTTATGGCCTCACCTTTGATTTATTTCTTTGGCAGTGAAGAAATGGATTTGGCCGTCAATTATTTGGACAACTTAACCAGGGTTCCAAGATTTGACACACTCATCATGTTTCTTTCATCCTCAGACAACGATGCTATGCATGCTTCTGTTTTAAATTCCTTGAGATTTTCAAAAGCTTACGGTTGAATTCCTGGATTTCAAATGTTTTTTTAAAGTAGTGACAGGACCCGTCCCGAATTCCCCGGAACCCGAGACGAACCCTGCGGAGACCCCGGCATCACACCCACGCCGGGTTCACTCCTTAAAACTATGTCCTCTTTTACCAGAGAGGATTTAGGGCACGAGACTTTCTGCCAAAATTTCGGCAAAGTCTCCCCTGTAAATTGAACATTCCCCAAAATTTCCACCTGCATAAAACACATTTTATAACCCAACCAGCAGCACGCACAATATAATCTCATGCAATTTACATAAATGGCCTCCGGCCTTCAAATGATTCTAGCAGAACTGCTCACACTGCTTTTAAAATAACTCCATGCATCAAACATGCATATAACCAATTCAAAATCTATCTATGCACACCTTCACTCACTCAGTCCAACGGACAAGCCTCAATTCAACCAAGTTTCGGGACCAACCACGAGGTCCGCATCATACTCGATAAAACCACCTAAGTGGTGTCTAGGTCGTGGCTGCACCTAGGCGCTATCCCAGGCTGCCTACGTACCCTACTAAGGGATCAAGCCACACGTAGCTCTTTCCTATCAATCCTGGCTCCTGATATCAATTAAACCATTACATCCATATAAATTCATACATTCTCGGGTTTATCCATCACAACACACCAAACATAATCACATAGCTCCCCTCATACGACGGGACGCACCCGGCCTCGTATGGGGTCTGTCTACACGCCGGCTAATCCAAAGACGCGTGCGACCTCAACCCTGGGCCTGGCTACATTCTCACCAGCCCTCACACAATCACATCTCCCCTCATACGTCGGGACGCACCCGGCCACGTATGGGGTCTGTCAACACGCCGGCTAATCCAAAGACGCGTGCGACCTCACACTGGGCCTGGCTACATTCTCACCAGCCCTCACACAATCACATCTCCCCTCATACGTCGGGACGCACCCGGCCACGTATGGGGTCTGTCAACACGCCGGCTAATCCAAAGACGCGTGCGACCTCACACTGGGCCTGGCTACATTCTCACCAGCCCTCACACAATCATATCTCCCCTCATACGTCGGGACGCACCCGGCCACGTATGGGGTCTGTCAACACGCCGGCTAATCCAAAGACGCGTGCGACCTCACACTGGGCCTGGCTACATTCTCACCAGCCCTCACACAATCACATCTCCCCTCATACGTCGGGACGCACCCGGCCACGTATGGGGTCTGTCAACACGCCGGCTAATCCAAAGACGCGTGCGACCTCACACTGGGCCTGGCTATATTCTCACCAGCCCTCACACAATCACATCTCCCCTCATACGTCGGGACGCACCCGGCCACGTATGGGGTCTGTCAACACGCCGGCTAATCCAAAGACGCGTGCGACCTCACACTGGGCCTGGCTACATTCTCACCAGCCATCACACAATCATATCTCCCCTCATACGTCGGGACGCACCCGGCCACGTATGGGGTCTGTCAACACGCCGGCTAATCCAAAGACGCGTGCGACCTCACACTGGGCCTGGCTACATTCTCACCAGCCCTCACACAATCACATCTCCCCTCATACGTCGGGACGCACCCGGCCACGTATGGGGTCTGTCAACACGCCGGCTAATCCAAAGACGCGTGCGACCTCACACTGGGCCTGGCTACATTCTCACCAGCCATCACACAATCATATCTCCCCTCATACGTCGGGACGCACCCGGCCACGTATGGGGTCTGTCAACACGCCGGCTAATCCAAAGACGCGTGCGACCTCACACTGGGCCTGGCTACATTCTCACCAGCCATCACACAATCACATCTCCCCTCATACGTCGGGACGCACCCGGCCACGTATGGGGTCTGTCAACACGCCGGCTAATCCAAAGACGCGTGCGACCTCACACTGGGCCTGGCTACATTCTCACCAGCCCTCACACTGTCACTTGGGCCTGGCTACATTCTCACCAGCCATCTTACTGTCACTTGGGCCTGGCTACATTCTCACCAGCCATCTTACTGTCACTTGGGCCTGGCTACATTCTCACCAGCCATCATACTATCACTTGGGCCTGAACATAATCACAATATGAGGGGTACGTGGGGTAGTGCGTATAGCACTGTAAACTAATATTCACTCTCCTTATATATCATTATACATCCACAGAATCAATTAAATATATCATATAATTTCTAATCATACAATAACATCAACCAATAACACATTCCATAAACTCCCACATTTAAATTCACCAATTTATATCCTAAACCCACAATATCCAAATTGAGATCCGCAAAATCTTACGCGCTTGTGATAACCAGGAGATCATTTTAGAACCTCAAGCCGGTCCATTTTCCTAGCCCACGCGCCGGCAGCGGGTGGGTGCCTTGAGTAATTTCCGGCGGCCGGAAAACTCCAAACCGCCGGCCAAGCTTCCTATCCTAGATGTAAAACCCTATTCTGAGCCACTTTTGTTCTTGGGCATACCCCAAAATCTGACCGGAAGTGGCCGGAATCTCCCCTCGAAATCCGGCCGAAATCCAATTCGAAGATCAGACCTCCTACGCTCAAAATCGATACAATCCTACCCAACCATCAGCTAGATCACGGAAAATAGGTGAGAAAGCATACCTTGATCGCAAGATTTGGTGGCCGGAATCGCCGGAACGAGCTCCGGAAAATTTGGGTAAAAACCGGCCGTTTTTCTGCAATTTCCGGCGGTATCGCTGCCGGCTGACATCGGAGAATGGGTGGGGTAGGACGGCGGAGTCAGGCCGGTCATTTTGGGACCGGTCCCGACCCGAGTGGTGGCCGGATGAATGAACGGCCGGCCAAAACGTGGCCGGCTGTGGTGGCGGTCGCGAACCAGAGGAGAGAGAGAGGGACGCGCGGGAGAGAGAGAGTGAGTGAGAGACGGGGGCAATTCCGTCTTTTAACCAAAAATCCCATTTTCCAAATATTTACGATTATGCCACTGAGCTTCTTTTGATCATATCTCTCTCGTTACAACTCCGATTCGAGCCCACTACGTGTCTATGAACTCATCTCACCGTGCTCTACGCAACGGTACAACCGGAATTCCCAAAGTCCTTCCGAATAAGAAAATGACTAAAATACCCCTATCCCACGGGTAATTTCTCAATTCCACTTAAATAAATTAAAACATGGGATAAATTTGGGGTCGGGGTGTTACAAGTAGAGTATACCTATATCAATGTGGTACATCAGTCTCAGCGACTGGTAATGCTTGCACTGTGTCTTGATTGAATCGTTCCATATTTTCTGATTTGTTAGTCATCCTGCCCATTTTTATAGGGTTTATGATTCATATTTTCCATTAGTTTCATATCCTATACTAACCCAATAACCTTGCAAACAGATGTTGTTAAGATATGGGATGAAGTGTTGGACAATGAGGCAACTCCGATTGAGTATGCCGAGAAGCTTGATAACCTGCATACAAAGTACTGCCCCAAGCGATGACAAAGCTCAACAAGTTTCTACTTTACCCTCCTTCGCCTCTTGTACTGTAAATTCAAGTTGTAAATTTTTGAAATGCTCCAACGACCCCTTTGAATATGAATTTTGTCGTGGATAACTATTCTATCCAATTATCGAGATGTTAAAAGTACATTGCAACTTTTACTTCACTCCTGTTGGACTTGAATACTTGGAACTTGGAACTGTTGGTAAGAATGTGCTTGTGAGGTCCATGTTTTGGTCGGGTGGACATAGCCTACTCTTGTTCAGCCTTTTCAGACAACATATGTATATCTTTGAATACTGAGTTGTTTCAAGTCGCAATCAATCAATGTTATTTGGGGGCTCTTCCAGATTTTGCGCTATGCTTTTCACATGGAGATCATGTGTCATTTACAATCACCTGACTCTTTCGTGTTAACAACACTATATTATGCATCAAAAATAAAAACCCTACTTTATAATACAGAAAATAACCCTACATGCAAGTAGATGCATTGTAATCTTAGAGATCAAAGATCATGTTCTGTGAACTCACCCAAATAATGCAAAAACATAACCAAAATATTGATTGGCTAGGCATATATTATGTGCTGCACGCGAAAGATTTCTCTTCGAAGCAAAAACGGTTGGAGATAGGAGGTTGAACAGAGTTTGTATGGCCACGTAACTAGCAAAAAGTAAAGACTTCTCTTCTGGGATGGATGAGCAACTAGCTAAGGAGGCAATAAAAGCAGGTAGACCATTGATCTTGCGTTAATAGTCATGTATATGTTTTGCGACGTACATTTTACAGTGTAGAATGGTCTTCAGATAATTTTTCTGTTTCTTTTAAGTTACATGCATTAAACGGGAAAATGCTAAATTCTTTATATGGGTAACTGTGTTGGCTAAGGTTGTTATCAAATCTTTGGGAAAGGGGCCTGTCACTTTACTATCTTGATAGGAACTAGTTCTTTGATGGTTCTTGTTTCCATATGATTTTGTTAGGTACTGAGATAATTAAATTTTGAAAAACAATAATACTTGATGTAGAAAAAATAAAAAAAAGTGTCACTTTAGCCTTAGATATGTCATTGGAATAAAAGTAAAAATTAAGGTTTTTATTTTTATTTTTTTATCTGAGGAATATTAGTATGAAATTTGTATTGCCATTTCCTAGACTCTAGCATAGGTTGGGAGTTAGTGTGTGAATATCGTTTACTAGACGTTTTGGCGCAACACATTCAATCTCAGGTTTCCAAAGCATGACTTGACCGATATGAGGAATCTGATTTCAGGTAAATCATGACATAATCATGCATTCATTATAGGATTCCTAGTTTGAGTTATTTTCACTCAAAGTATTTTTATCTTAATCTTATTTTTAATAAGATTAGATTTTATCTCTTGAGATTACTTTCCTAGTTCAACTCTATTTTAATTGAAGTTAAAATATTATCTTTTCCTATTGTGACTTTGCTTGTTGCTTACCTCTTAGTTAATTTGGTTTAAAGAGAGGCGTCATTACTTTGAGTCCAAGGTGAATCAAATCTCTTATTGATGATAGGTTGTGGTGCAATAGGAAGTTTAATATTCGTGGCCTATTGGGTTTCTCTCCCATGAGAGAGAACAAGTCTTGTATAAAAGATCATGTGCCATTCTTTTATTTGTACAGCTTTTGAGATATTTGTTCTGAGCATATAGAATTCTAAGAAAAGCTGTTGTGCGTATATTTGAGATAAATCATCAAGTGTTCAATGTTTACTTGGTGATTTATCAAACACTTTAATCATTCATATTGCATTCATATGCATGTCGGTGACTCATACGGTTGAGGGCACCAAGACCGTGGTGGCGGTTTTCCTCCGGTGAGCTTGAAGCAATCGTGGCCAGTATTGCGTTCAACATAAGGAGTGTCGAAGATCATCCCGTGACAGAAGTTGAGTTACGAAGAAGTCGGTAAACATTATCTAGAATGTGTCTAGGATAAGTGTGTGAGTACTTCTTGTAATCATCGTTCTATAGTGGATTTGTGTTGGACTGAGGAGTCCCGTGGATTTTCCCCAGAGGTGGGGTTTTACCACGTAAAATAATTCTCTGCGTGTTCTTTTATTTTATGCCCAGCACGTTACAGGATTGATAAGCCATATCAATCCTGCTACCAAAGTTTATTTTTATTTATTTGATTAGAATCTTAAATTGGCCTATTCACCCTCCTCTAGGCATTTTGAGTCATCCTGCAGGTATTTTCAATTGGCATCAGAGCAGGTTGCTGGACATACTCAGCAAGATCTAACATACCTTAGGATGGATCGTGCCTCGGGCTCAATTGCACATCCACCATATTTCGATGGCAACAACTATGGCGCTTGGAAGGCCAAAATGAAGTCGTTTCTTTGGTCCTTAGATGAACGTGTATGGAGCACAGTGGTTCATGGATTTCCTAAACCCACAAAGACGATCGGAAAAGGAGATGAAGAAACCACAGTCCTCAAAACTAGAGAGGAGTGGACCACTGCAGAAGTCACACACAGCACTAATAATCAAAAGGGGTTAAATGCTTTATTTACTGCTGTCTCTTCCGATCAATTTGAATATATATGTGCTTGTGATACTTCTAAGGAAGCTTGGGATATTTTGCAGGTTACTCATGAAGGAACAGATACTGTCAAGGGAGCCAAGCTTCAAATGCACACTTTACAGTTTGAGACACTTATGATGGATGAGAATGAAACTTTTTCTGAATTTTATGCAAAACTTTGTGTAATTGTGAATGCTTGTTCAGGTTTAGGTGAAAAAATTCCAGAAGATAGAGTTGTGAAAAAGATTTTGAGATCCTTGCCTCAACGGTTTCAACCAAAGATCACGGCTATTGAAGAGATCCGTGACTTGAACACCTTGAAAGTTCAAGAACTCATAGGGTCCATACAAACCTATGAGATGAAACATCTACCTCTTAAAAAGAGCAAAAATGTTGCGTTCAAGGTTGTGAATGAAGAAGATGATGAGCATTCAAATGAAGATTGCAGTGATGAGGAATTAACGATTCTCACAAGACGATTCATGAACTTTCTCAAGAATCAGGATCCAAGGAGTCGAGATTCAAAAGGTATAAATTCTAAAAATAGGTTTGTTAACTATACTGATGGTGGATCTAAATTTCGCAGGTTAAATGAACGAAAGAATCCAAGAGAAAAGGTCAAATGTTTCGAATGTGAAGGCTATGGACACATATCTTCGGAATGTGCCAACACCTTAAAGAAACAAAAGGATGGCAAGAATAAGGCAATGCATACTACTTGGAGTGATAGTGAATCGGAATGCGAGAATGATGAAAAGACGGTTGCACTTATAACCACAGTTAGCTTGGATGAATCACGTGAGGATGATGATTGTAAAGGTATAAATATTGAGTTTATCATGAACAAATATGATGATTTGTTGGCTGCATCTCAGAAGCTCAGTAAACAAAATAGTGAGCTCGTCAAAGAAGTTGCTGTGCTGAAGCTGGAAAATTGCAGGATTGCAAACGAGTTTCAATCCCCTGATGCAGATTCCGAAAAGGTAAGTGCAGGTATGAACGAAAAATTGATGTTTTTGCAGAAAAAATTGACTGATCAGAATAAATTAATTGCTTCTCTAACTTCTGACAACAAAGCCCTTGAACTTGAACTTAAAAATTCAAAAGAAAGGATTGTTTCTTTAACCATTGGTGCAGAAAAAATTGACAAGATGATTAGCATGGGACGAAGAGATGGTGACAAACGAGGCTTGGGATTTGAACCAAGTAATAAGTCTTCCGCTGTGTCTAAAACAAAGTTTGTCAAATCCACTTCACCTATTGAACCTTCTGCCTCTCATGAAGTCAAGAAATTTATTCCAATTTGTCACTTTTGTGGAACTCGTGGGCACATAAGACCGAGATGCAATAAGCTTCGAAACGAATTTGTTCGTTCAAATTCTCATGGCATGGGTGGAAAAGTAAGTATCCAACATAAGATTTCAAATCTTATGAAAGAGGTAAACCGCTTATCCAAACTATCTTCTTTTCATTGTTTGCCGTCAACTAAGACAAAGTTAGTTTGGAGGGAAAAGGAAAATCATAATTGTATGTCTTCCTCCACTAATGTTGTGCATGAACCCGTTGCTTTAGAAAGTTTGGATCTTAAATGTATTGCTGCAAAACCCTTGGATAATCTTCGATTTGACACTCTTAGAAAGTCTTTAGGTATATGTGCTCTAGATTAATTTGGAGTCTATTGCATGCCAAAGCCTCTTTCATGTTTTATGATATTTCAATTAATTTCTGTGTTTATAAATCTGTCCAGCTCGTGCAAGGATTGTTAAGGTGTATCAATCCTGTAACTGTCTGAACGTATTTGTTGATCTTAGATTGGGCTCTAACATTGCACTATATTAAGAACTTACACTCTCAGCTTCACACAAAGGTTTCCATTGTCTTGGTGCATTATAAACTTCATTAAATGATCTATCCATCTATTTATTTTTATTTTGCACACCACACTCTTTTCCTTGAAGTCCTTTGAATATCTCTTATCATGCACTTGTCTCTCTTTGGATTGCCATAACACTACTGTGCGTAAGTTCTTGATCTGTTTATAAAAATAAAATAAAAAAAAAAAAAAGGGTGTCAACCACTCATTGCTCAGTAACCGGGCCTCTTGTCTAACCAACGTCGAGGTTCGAGTCAACAGGTTGTGATGGTTTGCTATCCTTGCTTATCTTTGGAGCCTTCATGATTCGGATCAGTATTTCCCCAGGGGTGCTTCATCACCCAGTTGCCTCCAGTCATCTGACGTAAGCACACTGATTGACCATCCGTTACATGGATCATGTCGAAAGCTAGATAAAGTGAGCCACAAAATTCGTATTAAAAAAATATATATAATTTGATCTTCTTATACTTACTATGCACTTAGTGTTTGTGCAATCTTTGGTGGGATTCGTCTTGTGTGGACATATTTTTTGTGCTTAATTGAAAAAGAGTTCATTTAACACATTTGCTCCTTGATGGTAGACTCATTTGATGCCTTTTTATCTTTCACCATGACTGTGGTATGCCTCTACTGTTCTCTGTGAGTTTGTGAGTCTTGTGTGCTGTCGTGTGTTTGTCCCTGACATGCTTTGCTTCACATGCGTTCAAGACAACAAAGGGTTTGTTGCTTCTTTCATTCTTTACCCACAAACTTGGCATGTTTATGAATGGAAAATAATTATATCTTCAAGAGAACTTTGGGTCTGCATCTACAGTATGTTTTATGTCTTGATTGTTTTGAGCTTTCTGTCTTGAGTGTATTGCTTTTGTTTTTGTATGTTTTGGTTCTTAACAACTTCTCATTATTTCTCTATTTTCCTGTCGCTTATCCCAAAAAAAAAAAAAAAAAAATAAAAAAAATTCTGTTTGTTTTCAAGATAAAGCCTCTTACATGCTTTATTGGTTATTCTCTATGTCTTTATATGTTGGGAATGCAATCTGATTTTTTTTATTTTTTATTCCCTCTTATATATGCTCCCTTTTGTTCATTCTTTGCCCTTTGGATTTCCTGACAAAAAGGGGGAGAGATTGTGTTGTGGAATTAAGGGGGAGAGATTGTGTTATGGAATTAAGGGGGAGAGATTGTGTTATGGAATTAAGGGGGAGTTGTGTTGTAATTATGCTTTGAATTACATTTCTTCTCCCACATGCTTCACTGGTTTTGTTGTTTCATAATGTGCAGGGATTCAGGGCTTCAAGCTTAGAATAAGAATTCATTTGTTAAATCCCATGTAATTTCTTTTGAGTTGTAATAGGTGTTAGTATGAAATTTGTATTGCCATTTCCTAGACTCTAGCATAGGTTGGGAGTTAGTGTGTGAATATCGTTTACTAGACGTTTTGGCGCAACACATTCAATCTCAGGTTTCCAAAGCATGACTTGACCGATATGAGGAATCTGATTTCAGGTAAATCATGACATAATCATGCATTCATTATAGGATTCCTAGTTTGAGTTATTTTCACTCAAAGTATTTTTATCTTAATCTTATTTTTAATAAGATTAGATTTTATCTCTTGAGATTACTTTCCTAGTTCAACTCTATTTTAATTGAAGTTAAAATATTATCTTTTCCTATTGTGACTTTGCTTGTTGCTTACCTCTTAGTTAATTTGGTTTAAAGAGAGGCGTCATTACTTTGAGTCCAAGGTGAATCAAATCTCTTATTGATGATAGGTTGTGGTGCAATAGGAAGTTTAATATTCGTGGCCTATTGGGTTTCTCTCCCATGAGAGAGAACAAGTCTTGTATAAAAGATCATGTGCCATTCTTTTATTTGTACAGCTTTTGAGATATTTGTTCTGAGCATATAGAATTCTAAGAAAAGCTGTTGTGCGTATATTTGAGATAAATCATCAAGTGTTCAATGTTTACTTGGTGATTTATCAAACACTTTAATCATTCATATTGCATTCATATGCATGTCGGTGACTCATACGGTTGAGGGCACCAAGACCGTGGTGGCGGTTTTCCTCCGGTGAGCTTGAAACAATCGTGGCCAGTATTGCGTTCAACATAAGGAGTGTCGAAGATCATCCCGTGACAGAAGTTGAGTTACGAAGAAGTCGGTAAACATTATCTAGAATGTGTCTAGGATAAGTGTGTGAGTACTTCTTGTAATCATCGTTCTATAGTGGATTTGTGTTGGACTGAGGAGTCCCGTGGATTTTCCCCAGAGGTGGGGTTTTACCACGTAAAATAATTCTCTGCGTGTTCTTTTATTTTATGCCCAGCACGTTACAGGATTGATAAGCCATATCAATCCTGCTACCAAAGTTTATTTTTATTTATTTGATTAGAATCTTAAATTGGCCTATTCACCCTCCTCTAGGCATTTTGAGTCATCCTGCAGGTATTATCAAAGGTGTTGACTAAGAAATTTTTATATGACCAAAACCATTTCTTAGTTGAGCTAGCTCCTTGTGTAGTTCACAAGGTTAGAATCTAGAAAGGCATCTCATTTTTGTGCTGTCTCCCAATATATTCTCATGTGGTGGTGTTGGTTGTGGAGATGGTGGTGGAAGTGGAGGTTTTGGAGGAGGTGGTGGTGGCAGTTGCGGTGGAGGTGGTGAATGTGGTGGTGCAAGTGGTGGAGTTGGATGTGGAAGTAGAGGTGGTGTCATTTTTTAAAATGAACGATGATATTTTAGGAATTAAAAAAATTCATGAAAAGTTCATCTTCGCTTCTTTTGAAAGTAGCTTTGAAAAGAAACTCAGAATCTACTTTTAAAACATGGTGTCAAAAGGCTACTTCTTTTAAAATAATTGGGATATTTTATTTTTACCAAACATCTTAAACTGCTTAACTTTAAAGTGAAACAGGTTTTCGGCCAAAAAAACAATCTCAAGCAATTTTATACTATGAAATTCAACCTTCTTTGATCCACAAAATGTTGGCGGATCCCAATTTTTTGTTGTTGTATTTATGGGTTTAACCCATATTATTTGTTATAAATAAAATCCATTTTTTTTATTCTTTCCCAATGGGCTAATAGTTAGATAGTTAGAAATAATTAGAATGAGAGGTATTAGAAAGAATTTAAATTTTCATTCCCCAATATCGCTTGTATAAATAAAATAATTGTAGAAATAACTCTAGCCCAACGGGCTAAAGTGGTATTTTAGCCCCAAAAAATCTAAAACGATATGAAAAAAATGTATATTTCAAAGGTATAGCCGATCGGCTATACTGTCTAAATACGTTCGAATATTTTAAAGGTGCAGCCGGACGGTTAGACTCTTTAAATATTAATATATTCGAATATTTTAAGAGTATAGCCGAACGGCTATATTCTTTAAATATTAACACGAAGCTTGCACTCGCAGTCACAGCCATTTCGCTTCTCTATCAAACTAAAGCTCCGATTGGTTTTCTTCGGTTTCGGCTGCTTCGTCCTCCAGGTTCGGCATCGTAAAAAGACCCAACCCGCCTAGGAGGCCGCCCAGCAGCCTAGCGCCCGCCTAGCCCCCGCCTAGCCGCCTAGCCCGCCTAGCCCCTGCCTAGCAGCCTAGCGCCCGCCTAGCCCCTGCCTAGCAGCCTAGCGCCCGCCTAGCCCCTGCCTAGCAGCCTAGCGCCCGCCTAGCCCCACATCGCCGGCTTGTTGCAGATTTTGACCGAGAAAATTCTGATATCGGAGACAGGGTCGAGTTCCAGAGCCGTAGAATTGGACCATATTCAGGAGGAGATTGAGGAGGTGTCTGCCGTTCCGGAAGTGAAGGAGAAGAAGAAGATCAGAAATCCTTTGAGGAAGGGGTCGGAAGGTGAAGAGGTGCGAGCTATGCAGGTCTGCTTGCTTTTGAAATTCCAGTTTTGATTTTTTGGAGTCTATCATTCATTTCTTGTGTTTTGTTTATGATTTAGTGTTGTCTTTGAATTATAAAATGGTACTTTTAAATTTGGCAAATTGAAAACTGAGCAGCATAAAATGGTATTAACTTTCTCTTTAGTATAGAAAGTTGTTAACTTTTGTTTCTTTTCTTTTTCTGTAACTGGGTTTGTGTGGTTATTTCCTTTTATAGTGTTTGCTTCGTTTTTGGATGTAATATTTGTGATTTCGACTTGTTCTAATATAATGTTCCTGTTATTTGACAGGAAGCATCGCAAAAACTTGATTTTACTTGGGTGAGGAAGACATGGAGTTTTCCAGCTTCTCAAGTGGGACCGAACGTGCTGTCAAGACTTGGCAAGTAAGTTACAATTAACATTAGATGTTACTATGTATAATGCATGAAGAGTAAAATTTCAGAATCATCAAGTTGAACAAAAATTTCACAACGCAAAATATAATATCTTGTTTGACAGGCCTCCTTAGACGCTCCTCAGAGATGGCAAAACTTCTTGAACAATTATATACGGTGGCACAAATTGAGGGTCTGGATAAAAAAGGGAGTAATCTGACTGCTACACAAAAGGTATACCCTTCTGACGACATACCATTAGCCTTTATTAAGTGGAAGCCGTTGATGTTTTAAGTTTCAGTACCAATATATCATTCCTCACTTGGAACTGAACATAATGGTTTGATAAGTCATTACTTGCATTCCTCAAGAGGAGCCAAAAACTCATTTGATGGTTCAATTTGAAGTGAACTAAGCCTTCATTTTCTTCAACCAAATTGTAAAGAATTGTAGCAAACAGTACTAAGTACCAACCAAGAAGCTCTGTTACTTAATTGAGAAACGGACCTGAAGCGCCGACTCTATTTTCAGTAACTCAGACATCAGGTTTCTTGGTTCCAGTTCATGAGACAATCACTTAACATGCAAATAAATACGATATGACTGTGAGGTAATGTGCTGTGGTAACTGGTAACACACCGTAACTTATTTTGGATACTAATAAATGAAGCTGATTATATTGGTAAACTGATTTTCTTCTCCTGGTTGGCCTTGAGCTAGCAACCTGCTCATGTTCGTATAAGCTATAGCGAACCACTACATAGGCTGAAACTTCGTTTTTGGATGTAATATTTGTGATTTCGACTTGTTCTAAATTAGGATTTTAATATAATGTTCCTGTTATTTGACAGGAAGCATCGCAAAAACTAGGATTTTACTTGGGTGAGGAAGACATGGAGTTTTCCAGCTTCTCAAGCGGGACCGAACGTGCTGTCAAGACTTGGCAAGTAAGTTTCAATTATCATTAGATGTTACTATGTATAATGCATGAAGTGTAAAATTTCAGAATCATCAAGTTGAACAAAAATTTCACAACGCAAAATATATATGTTAGTCAACTCGTAATATCTTCTCTGACAGGCCTCCTTAGACGCCCCTCAAGATGGCATAGTGACTGCAGAACTTCTTGAACAATTATATACGGTGGCACAAATTGAGGGTTTGGATAACAAAGGGAGTACTCTGACTGCTACACAAAAGGTATAGCCTTCTGACGACATACCATTAGCCTTTATTAAGTGGAAGCCGTTGATGTTTTAAGTTTCAGTACCAATATATCATTCCTCACTTGGAACTGAACATAATGGTTTGGTAAGTCATTACTTGCATTCCTCAAGAGGAGCCAAAAACTCATTTGATGGTTCAATTTGAAGTGAACTAAGCCTTCATTTTCTTCACCCAGATTGTAAAGAATTGTAGCAAACAGTACTAAGTACCAACCATGAAAAAATTTGTAGAGTACCCTAAAGGGTGTCCTTCAAATAAAATTATTTAAGGATCCCTCAATAAAATGTGACTATATATATATATATATATATTTGGTTTGATATTTCTTAATGGGGGCGGATCCGTGGCACTATATTTTTTACACAAGTTTTGACACAATTTTTGGGCCATTAGATTACTCTACTTTCAGTGGTTGAGATTAAACTTGACATGGGAAATAATTTTAATTTCTTAATTAGACAATCATTAATTTTATTTTCTCTCTCACCATAAAAATAAAAGAAACAATTTTCTCTCTCCTCCCTTTAATCTCTCTTCTTTCTCGCACACATCTCTCTCACTCTCTTTCATGAGACCATAAAAAACATCGATCTCTTTTTCTCTCTTTATCTGCAACAAGAGTCTCCTCCCTCCCTCTCTTTCATGAAACTAGAAAAGACCTCCATCTCTTTTGAGGGTTTGATTTAGGGATTTTAATCTTCTCATATCTGAAAATTTTGACTATTACTGTGTTTTTTTTTCATTAAGAACTTTTATCGTTTTAATAGAGAGAGAATACATAGTGAAAATTTGATGCCACAACACTTGTTGATTATCTCGTGAAGAAGGCAAGTTCCACTGATCAACCTTCACTTTTACCAATTAGATGAGCTTAGAATTCTTTAATTGAATCACCATTCATGATTAAAAAAATAAGTTCTATGACCGGCAGCTATCCTTTGGGAACTATTGAAATTCTTTAGATCATTGAAAGTAGACAAATGGCTTAATTTTGATTAAGATTTTTATGCTTGAAAACTTATAGATAGTATTCTTACAATGTGAACAGGAATATCAAAACATTAGAGATGAACAATGTCCAAGATGGCACCTGGCATGGTCGGGTTATACAATATATACAGGTAGCCTTGGGGGGAAAGTCATTCTTTGAGCTACAGATTGTTGTGAATTCATGAGCTTAATAAACTGGGCATTTACCATTCTAGAAATTAGCTACAGCTATGATTGGGAGTTGACTTGAAATTTAATTAATTTTCCCGGAGATATGGGACTAAGAGTTGGAGGAAATATCTTGTGGGTGCTCCAATATTTTGATTATACAATATCTGTATTAACATAGGCGAAATTGCTTTGACATAAAAGAAAAAACTACATAAGATGAATTGATGGCTGCATATGCATGCACGGTTTGGGCCTTTAGTTTTTGGTGAAATTCTTTATTTATTACACCTTAATAAATATTAGATATTAAAGAGGCAGTTGGGATTACGTCTCCAAGAAAAAAGGGAGGAGAGAGAAAATCATTTCTTTTATTTTTATGAGAGAGAAAATAAAATTAATGATTGTCTATTTAAAAAAATTAAAACTTCTTACCATGTGAGGTTTAATCTCAACCATTGAAAGTGGAGTAATCTAATGGCCCAAAAATTATGTCAAAACTTGTGTCAAAAACATAGTGCCACGGATCCGCCCCCTTTCTTAATATATTTAAGTATGGGTTTAATTAGTGTTTTTCACTTTGGATTGGAATTTTGATATCAATTTATCTCCTGGAATTCAAAAGTTCTCACTAATCCCTCTCTACTTACCATTTTGTTAAACTCCGTCCACAAAACCATTAACTGACGTGGCATGAAAGTTCTAATACAAATTAAAATATGAAAAACTCATTACAGCGAATTATTCACATAAACGAAGCCTTGTAGTTGTAATGAAAACCATTGGCTTTGACTTGGAACATAAACAGATACAAAAATTAAAAGGGTTCACAAACAATAGTCGCCGTTCATATTATTCCCAAACTTGCAAGAGAGACATTAAGGAAAAAAAAAAACAAAAAACACAAAAAAAAAAAAAAAAAAAAAAAGAAAAAAGAAAAAAGAAAATGGTGGTCTTGTTGTGTATTTGTAGTAGGAGAGAACAGTAAATATGGTCTGCGTTAAGGTAAGGATGAGAATAACGGCCGCTCCATTAGAAAACAAGAATGACGGATTGTCTAAATAATTCCGTTTGAGCCTTACTAGCCAAGTCTCTAGCCAGTGACGCTTAACATGTTCATTTACTTCCTTTGCGAGGTGACCGTAAAAGAAGAACATGGCTTCACTGCCTTTGGAAAGCCTTTTGAAGAAAGAGGCTGTGCTCACCTTGCTCAACTCTGTAGTTATAATATTTTTCTGAATCAGAAAGTCCACATCTTGTACAGACTCAATAAGTCGGGCTTCTGTGTGCATTGTTCGTAGGCTATGAGGTTTCTGGTGAAACATCTCCATCCTCTCGAATTATTATTGGTGGAATCTTCATCACTCCATGTCTAAAGGTATGTCGTACCGACCACTATATTTAACATTATCAGAAGCCACAAATTTGACTCCAATTTCTCGAAGCTCTGACACGGAAGGAATCGGAGTTCGATATTCCATATCCTCACAAACTTCCATGTATGGTTGAACCACAAAATTTCTTACAGTTTCGAGTAAATGGCTGCTTTCGATTCTTCTTCGAGGAATAGAGACGTACTTGCAAATAATGACTCTTGAAATATGGGGTTCTGAAAGAAACGGCAAGCAAGTTCACGTAGAGATGGCATTTGATGGTCATCATCATATACCCTTATGACCTTGTATAAGCAGTCAAGAACCCTCCAAGGGAGTTGGTTTTCAACTAGCAACAAATCATTTGTAATTGTCGACAACATCCTTTGCGTCTTGAAATAGCATCATCATCTTCCACTGGAGAAAGGTCTAGCTGTTTGCAGAGAAGTTCAATAATAAAGCAGCCATCAACGAGCATCATTTCTACAAATTCATCACTAGACAGAGGAAACCTTTCTTCATAGCACTCACGACAAAAAAATTCTTGCTTTTTAATTATATTGATAAGGTACGCCAAACTGTTGTCTGGAGTTAGTTTACGAAGAAGGCATTTCAACCTCCAAATTTGACTCGCTCTGCTTTATATTAATAGGAAAAAATCAGCAAATTGTTATAAAGAATATCTGATCTATGCACGGAGGAGTTGCACTCTTTATTTAACTAAGGTATTTCTACAACTTAGAGATTTATACGTGTAGAATAGAATAGATTAACAATAATTCTTAAGGGAAAAGCTTGACTCCTTCAAATTGAGAAGGAGTTCCTCGAACAAATGAGATTTGACACTTGTCAATCTAAGACATATCTTGAATATATTATCGGTTATGTGGTCAATGACCTTCATGGATCACCTTCTCTCTCTAAATTTTTATAAAAATTAAAAAATATTAAAAAAAAAGGAGAAAGATGCATGTTTCTTAAACACACACACAAAAGTCTTAACATTTGTAGGCAATTTGTAGGAAAAAACTCACCAGGATGAATCGAGAGGTTTGATGGAGTTGTCGTTGCAGGATAAGAGGTACGCAAAGCAAGGATGAAGCCTACGCCTTTTATTTTTTGGACATTGGTCAAAGTCGTTTTCTAATCAAATACGTGAATATTTTGTTTTGCAAGAAAGAAAGAAAAAGTTGTTTAAATAATAGTCTTTTCTGTGTGGTCTTTTTTAATGACCTGTAATTCTTCAACAACCGGGAGATGATGTTTAAGCAAATAAAAAGGTTAAGATGCCCCGTTTACTACTTGTTAACTGCAAGTCTTTTTTATAAAATATTTAGTTTACCTCGGTCAGTGACTTGTTTCCTAGACCTCGGTTGGATACTTTATATAATAAAGTTCGTTGAATAATTGCTTAAGATATGTAACAAATCTATTGAACAACACTGTCAAGTGATTATAAAAAAAGGCGGTTCAACTAATTACAATATACGATTTGCTTCGGTTCGATTTGATAAAAATAAAAAAGGAAACCAAACTAAACCAACCATTAAAGACGGTTTAGTTTGTCATGTTTGGGCTTAAACCCAATTCTATTTCATTTTGTATTTTTCAACATGTTAGTCCATTACAACCAACAATCCACAACTTGCTCCATACTTAAATCATTTCTAGAGTACGAAATCATCCTAAAGCTCAATATGCCATAAAACTTCAAATTTCAATAACTATATAGCTCAACTCAAATATCCATATATAGTTATTGAAGGAAACATTAAATCTAGCTCTATTTAGCCACAAGGATAAGGTTACAATTAACCTTAGGCAACGGAAGCTTTAAAATACCATAAAATGGTAAAACATTCAAAGTACTAGAAAGCAAAGCACGGAACCCAATTTTATAGTTTCGACCCAAATGACCATTTTTCCGCATTACCTATATATACAAGTAAAAGGTAAAGAAGGTAAAACATTCAAAATACCAGAAAATGTCATTGGTTAATACAAACATTAAGAATTGAAATTATTAATTAAATGAAGATAATATGGTAAATTCACACTTTTTCATATTAAATAAATTAATTAAAAGAACTAATATCAACTTGAAAACGGAGCAGACTTCTAAGTTTTCCATTTCAAATTCGAACTAATATCAATGATTTATTATACCACTTGAAAACGAAGTCATATTTCCCTTGCACTTTAGCTACGTCAACGATAAGGGCGAATTAGAAATTTTTCAACAGGTGGGCTAGCTAAATTTTTTTAGTTTAAAATTAATTATTTTTATTTAAAATTATGGTTTCTACAGTTTTCTATAAATAGAAGTATACATTAAATCATATAAACAAAAAATATAAATACATTTAACATAAGACAAATACATATTAAATACAACAAAAAAATACTTATTATCAAGGTGTGCCATTCAAGTTGTGCCATGCTCTATTGAGAGAATACAACTACCAAAAGGTAGCAGAGAATTAAATAGACTTGAGAAAAATAATATTTTCTTAATGTATTGTAGTTTATGGTGGTCTATATAGTTTTTGTTCTTTCAAACTCCTTTCCTTAAACAACCATCAGACTTCATATTTCCTTTATGTTTTGTAGTTGCTAGTTTGCCATATATATAGGTTTGTTTTTTCTTCAAAACTCAAACCTATAGCCACCATAGCCTTGTGGGTGGTTCTGCCATTGGTCAATGAGGAGACATGGTCTGATGATGACCGATGACGGTGAGCGGAGATAAATGCTTTTATTAAGTGTGTTCAATAGTCTAGCGATGGTGAGCAGATCTACTCTTGAAAAAAATAAAAAAAATTCTAAAAAGAAAAAACACAAATTAAATCTCAGTTAGCCAATTACATTAATTGACATGGTATTATAACATAAGCTGCCATATAATGTGGTCAATTAAGTGTGTTCAAATAGCATTGTGGAGCAATAGGATTCCTTTTTGTCTTAAATGAATTCTAGTTTTTTTTTTTTTTTTTTTTTTCAAAGAAAGAGAGTATATTATTCAAGGAAAACAGTGAGTAAACTAGTACAAAAATCGGCAAGTGGGTGAAACCGATAGTTCTCAAATTGCCTTAGAAGAGTGCAGCAATCCTGCAACAAACCAGCAAGTGGGTGAAACTGAGAGACATCAGTTTATGGATAAGTTGTACACCAAGAGCTGAGTCCCATTTCAATGATGAGCCTATTGATACCTTTATCCAAAGCCATTTTAAGACCTAAAAATAAGCCCTATAGTTTAGCTTCAATTATTTGGCCCTTTCCCAAGTTCACTGCAACCCCTTAATCCATTCTCCAGCACAGCCACGAAGAATACCACCAGCACCATATTCCAAGAGGCAAGTATGCAAGAACCATCCACACTCAGTTTAACCACTCTAGTACCAGGAAATTCCCAAGCCAAAAAAAAATGTATTTTCTCCCCGGCTATAAGATGATTTGCTTGGTGTTAGAAGGAGTAGCCTCTCAACATTGACAGTCTGACCCAAAGCCTTGCAAAACAAATCCAAACATCTTTCATGATCCGTGCATGCTTCGGGCTAGCCTCCGAAAAAAGGATTAGGCTCTGCAAAGAAGAGGTGAGAGAAAAAAGGCCTAGATTGGGAAGATTGGACAGGCTTCCAATTCTTTTTGCGAACAGAGTCCGCCATCATGTGGGACAGTTTCTCAATGCATTAAACAAAGAGATAGGCCTTAGATAAATCAATTTTCCATGCAACAAAACCTTTCTTGCCTTTAGACCCTGAATTCATGCACAAGTTCTCAGGGATGAGGATGTTGTCAGTAATATGTCTACCCGGAACAAAGCTAACCTAGTTAGGCTAATCAAATTAGGTAGAATAGGCCTTAGACGAGCAACCAGGATCTTGAAATTACTTTGTAGATAGTGCAACATAAACTTATAGGCCGAAATTGATCATAGAGGTAGGATTTTCCACTTTAGGCACCAAAGTAATCTAGGTGGAATTAAGACCTTCAAGAATCCTACACTCCCTGAAACCTTGGTCGACCAACTTAAAAATATCATTAACGCAAATATTACAGTGCTTCTGCTAAAAACAAGTTGGAAAGCCTCTCTACAGTAGTTACCGAGGAAACCAACTCTCCAGAATCAATACAGGGAAAGAGATTAGGGATTGCAAACCTGCTGGTTGGCACATGAGCAGGAGAAAACAAATCAGAAAATTGTGCATAGCCATATTTTTAATACCTTCAGCCTCTTCCACCCAAACTCCAGCATCATTCTTGAGTCTGTCAATTTTATTCTTTCTCCTTCTAATAATAGTAGACATGTGGAAGAACTGGTATTACGGTCACCCTTTTGAAGCCACTTCACCCTAGATTTTTTGTGCCAAAAAACGGCTTCCTGGTCCAGGATACCATTAAACTCTTCAATAAGCACTGTAAAGAAAATCATTAGGCCCTTGGCATAAGGCCTTTTGAATCCCCGCTAAACGAGCTAAAATTCTGGCTCTTTCTTCGTTTGATATGACCAAAAAACAGAGCGGTTCCTTTTTCTTTCTTTCAAAGAATCGTAGACAAATCCCACTCAAAAAAAGAAGTCCTAGACAATTCAGCCCATTCATCAAATAGGCTGATCATGTTGACCCAATAGCCCAAAGTTGACCATCCTAGTAAATTTGGACCACATCTTTAGTAGCATCCAATAGCAATGCACCGACTCAAAGGAATGATGGCTCTGGTTCCCAGTTACAATTTAATCTGAGTTATTCGTCAAAACAAATTCTTTATAAATAAAAAAGGCATAAATTTGGTATTGGGCCCACACCGTAACAACTCCACTAAATAGAAGCTTTCAAAGTCATGGGCCCATGGAAGAAAGGTCAAAAAAGAAACCCAGATAATTCTCCAATTATTACTTATTAAGCACAACATTATACTCATTCTAAAGTGCATATGAGTATACAATGACAATGAAAGTTAAAAGAACAAAATGACATCTCTAGCTAACGCATTTGTTTCTCTATTTTATGAAGGCCCCTCTACCAAATATAGCTGCAGCTGGAGCTTCAATTCAACCAACCTGCATAAACATTACTGTCATAGAATGTCAACTTAAATTTTAAAGCACAATTTTCTCTCAAGTAAAGGAGAAGCAAAATGAACAAATTGAGACTCTAAAATCCTTCACTTTCAGTAATCTAAAGAACATAGCAATATATAAGGGAGTTTGTAGCTCAATGGTTAAGAGCATTTATCACAACACCTGAAATTCTAGGTTCGACATCCCCCTCTTTAAATATCACTTGTATAAATTAAAAAAAAACATAGCTATTAATACTAAAATCTTAATGCCCCACCATGTCTTAGTGCCTTAGATAGTCATTGTTGTCAAGCATCTAAATCATAATATGAACATGGTTTAATATATATCTATCTATCTAATTTATAAGTTTACCATCCCAGAAAAAGATTCTTGCTTTACATGAAAAAGATGTTGCGTGATTGGCTACTAGTTAGTGAGCCTTTCTTGTTTTTTATGACCACCGACATAATTGTGTGCGTGTGGGGGTTGGCAACAAATTTGGCTTAAATTTAAGACAAGAACGAGGCCAGATAAGACTTGGGATCTGCATTGTCTGTGGCCATTCCTCTCTATCCGTTTTCCTGTCTTTTTTTTTACTATCTCATCAACTTATAATTATTTAATCAAGGGGCTCAGCTCATCAGTTTCTGCAACTTAGTCCAAATTCCAAAACCCAATCAAAGTGCTTCTGCTCTCTTTCTTTAGAAGATTGGAGTGTTCACTTCCATTCTCACATGGTCTGGTGCTACATGTTAGGGGTTTAGTTAATGTCTCATTATAAGCTTTATCTTCACTTTCCTTAATTATATAATATTTATTTATTTATATAATTTCTTATAATGAATTATGAATTTAGAAACACTTTTATTCCAACCAGTAATGGTAATATGGGAAAAGTAATATGGGGTCTCTGTTTGCTTCTTTAATGGGCTAATCAGGTGACTAAAACCGTTTGAACAAAAATGCTTAAAAACATTTCCCCATAATGGTAATTCCCATGTTGGGTAGCTTGTGGAGCTTTATGGTAGTGCCAAAAGATACACCCACACACATACTCCTCTCTCCGTCTTTCTATTTTACTGCATTGGTTTGAAATGCTGAGGCTTGAACTGGTTTTGTGAAGTTGTTGCAGTGTTGGATCTGGTTCTTTTTAACCAGGCCTCAAAGGGTTTGTGAGTTTTCTCAAATTTGGTCTCTGAGTTTGAAGGTTTCCTGCTAAATTTTCTGTTTTTAGTGTTGGCTCTGTTTTTATGTGCTTAGAGCTGAAATGGGGTTTTCGAGCATTCAATGCTGAGATCTGATTTCTGCAGATTTACTGGTCACAGTGAGGTACAAGATTCTGTGAGTTGGATTTGGTAACCTACTTTGTACTTCATAACAGTTCAGTTGAGACTGAGAGGTTTAAAGCAAAAATGGCTCCAAGCTTGGATTTTTCCAGGTGGTGGGCAAGGGCAATACAAGTAAGGGTAATCCAGTGGTGGGTGACCATGGGAGAACCCCAATTACTCTGTGCTGGAGATAAATGGTCCTGATGAAGTATTTAGGCCAGTTGATAAGGACAGAGGCAAGAATGCCAAGCAATTTACATGGGTTTTGCTTCTAAAGGCGCATAAAGCTGTTGGTTGTGTTGCTTGGCTGGGAAATATTCTTTGGTCATTGCTTGGTTCCATTAAGAAAAGATTGATATTGGGCAAAGGAGTGACTGTGGAGAATGAGAAATCTGGAAAAGGAAGAACCTTGTATAGGGTCATTATGGGATCTTAGTCATGGCTTTAGCTTTTCTGGCTTTTGAACTGGTCGCCCACTTGAAAGGTTGGCATTATTTCCAGACCAATAGTTGCATATCCCCCAAACTTTGGAGATTAAAGGATGGCTTCACTCAGTTTATTTTGTATGGTTGGAGTTCCGGGCCGACTACATTGCACCTGCAATTCAAGCTTTGACTAACTTCTGTGTTGCTCTCTTCTTAATCCAATCCGCCGACCGAATGCTGCTGTGTTTAGGTTGCTTCTGGATCAAGTTCAAGAAGATTAAGCCAAGGTTTGAAGAACCCCATTGAAGCCAGACGATTTGGAAGGTGCAGGATGTTATTATCCGAAGGTTCTTGTTCAAATTCCTATGTGTAATGAGAGAGAGGTAACAGTCTCAATGCTTTTTTCTGGTTAAAATTTTACTGGTGAAACTCGTGTAGCAATTACTAGTTTTGATAGATCTTTTGTAGTTTTATCTGACCATTCAAATTTGAGTAACATTATAATTGGAAGGTAACTACTAAACCATAACTGTACAAATTGATTTCTAAGGCACTTTTTTATAGTTTTCATGGATTATTCATGACTGTGACATAAATGTATTTAGGTGTATGAGCAATCTATTTCAGCAGTCTGCCAACTTGATGGCCCAAAGAACGCTTGCTGATTCAAATTCTGGATGATTCTGATGATGGTAGCATACAGGGTATTAAGGGAGAAGTAGCCAAGTGGAACCAAAGGGGTGTTAATATTATCTACCGACATCGTTGGTTAGAACTGGTTATAAAGCTGGGAATCTCAAGTCGGCAATGAATTGTGATTATGTTGAAGGACTATGAGTTGTGTTGCAATCTTTGATGGCCGGATTTCCAACCAAACTCCTGACTTCCTCAAGCTGACAGTTCCCCATTTTAAGGTGGCTAGATCTCATATGCGCTTGTCTGGTCTCTATAGCCCTTTTTCTACTTTAGGTGACTGATTTTGTTGTGGTTCTAATTTGTGTGGTAGGACAATCCTGAGCTGGGGTTTGGTTCAGGCTAGGTTGGGCTTTTGTTAACAGGGATGAGAACTGTTGACACCCTCCAAAACATCATTTGTGCTTCCACTTTGAGGTGGAACAGCAGGTTAATGGGGTTTTCCTCAACTTCTTTGGCTTCATGGTACTGCTGGAGTTTGGAGAATCAAAGCACTTGAAGAATCGGAGGGCTGCTCGGCGTACACACAGTAGAAGACATGGATATAGCAGTTCGTGCCCATCTGAATGGTTGGAAATTCATATTCCTCAATGATGTCAAGGTAATTTTAATTATTTTAAATTTAAATCAACCTTACCTGATCCTATGTTTTAGTCCTTGACTATATGGTTTTCGGGCATTTTGCTCTGAGTTGGTAAAACCTTGCCTAAAACTTTTCAAATGATGTCTCAAATTTAAGAAACTGATTTTCAGGTCCTTTGTGAACTTCCTGAGTCTTATGAAGCTTACAAAAAGCAGCAACACCGTTGGCATTCTGGTCCAATGCATCTCTTCCGTTTGTGCCTTCCAGCCATCATTAGTTCTAAGGTACTGTTACAATTAGGTTCTCCTCTTTGATCTAGGGTATTTTTCTAAATAATATGTTCTGAGAATGTACTATATGCCATACTGCAGATGATGTTCTGGAAAAAGGCAAACTTGATACTACTATTCTTTCTGCTTAGGAAGTTAATTCTCCCATTTTATTCTTTCACATTGTTCTGCATAATACTTCCTTTGACCATGTTTGTCCCTGAAGCTGAGCTGTCCATGTGGGGTTATTTGCTATGTGCCCGTATTTATGTCATTCATGAACATTCTTCCTTCCCTTAGATCCTTCCCCTTCATTGTCCCTACCTTCTGTTTGAAAACACAATGTCGGTTACCAAATTCAATGCTATGGTATCCGGCTTGTTCAAGTTGGGGAGCTCATATGAATGGTTGTCACCAAGAAGGCGGGTCGGTCACAGAGCCTGATCTGTTAGCTGTGGAGAGAGGGGAATCTAAGGCCATGAACCACCCACAACTTTACAGAGGAACTTCTGATAGTGGGCTCTCTGAGCTCAACAAATTAATGAGAGCATCAGAAGCTGGTCCTAAACCTCCTGTAAAGAACTGAACAAGATCTATAAGAAAGAGCTAGCCCGGCCTTCCTGCTGCTACTGCTGCACTTAGGAGCCTTTTATCAGCCCAAGGGGTACATTTCTACTTCTTACTATTCCAAGGTGTATCATTTCTACTGGTGGGGCTTGATCTAATTGGTGAGCAGATGAGCTAGAGATTTGAGGTACAAATAATGGTACAGATTAAAAATAAAGGGTGAATAAGAGATGGGAACCAATTTGGTTTTCAAAATGGTACCCAAAATTGGCACTGGTAGATGCAAATAGCTGCCCATATAGATTCTTTTTCAGCTTTTGTTTGTCCTTGTATTGCTGCAATCATTTTTTGGGTTTCTTTGTGACACGGGCGAGTCTTCCACATCAAATCCTCACACCATCTTCTTGTTTTCTGTTTGGTTCGTAACTTATTGGTGATTTTATTTACATATAAGAATTCTGTGTGATGTTCTTAGATAAGCAATGTTTATTCCAATACCAATAGGTTGAGTTCTGTAGTTTGAATTTTTCAAATTTTACACATGTAAACTCTCTGTATATTTCATTAGTTCCATTGATACCAGATTCTCTCCTCTCTCTCTCTCTGCCATTTTTTCTTTCCTTTTCCCTATTATTTGTTGCATTTGTAGAAAGTGTCTCTTTGGAAATAAGAGAGAGGCAAAATTAGTGTCGGCAAGCAATGAGAATGTGTGTTGCTCATGTGTTTCTCATGCTGTGGCCCTTCCTTTGCCATCAAGGAAGATTCCTGACCTTGGATTTGCAAAGATTGGTAATTTGCCGTAAGCTGTGATACGCCCTACATTGGACCACGCATATCTTGGTGTGTGCCAATTGTTGTTTCCAATAAGGCATGCATGATGGTAGATGCAGAAAGAACCCTACTCAGCAAGTCATGTGGACCTCAGCAGACCCTTCCAAAGCATCCTTTCTATAGTTTTGAACACTGTGAAGCCAACTTTTGCATTGTATGACCAATGTTGCTTCATTAATGACCAGACTACCACTCACAAAAAGATAATTGGTATTTTTCCCCCTCATAAAATATTACAACTGCCCAAGTTGTATGTGTCACATGATGGTGTCTTGGAAACCATTTCAACTGCAGAAGACTCTTAAGGCTTGTGGCATAAGATGTAGGCACATTTGAGTGGCTTATTAACAGAAAAATAAGCTAATGGTCTTGTAAGCTTCAAACATAAAGCAGAATCCTGCAAAGAGGGAAACTATATATTGAGATGCTCTCAACCATGTTTGTTTCTCACTCACTCACACCAATGTACTGATTTTCTTTTCTCCTATTGAACCCAACATGGATAAAGAAATGGCCTTTTTTTGAGAACCTTTCTATTAAGAGGGGAGATAACTTACTAAACTCAAACCACTATATAAATGCTAGGATTAGAACCTAGGACTTTTCCTGAGAGAGCAATTGCTCCAACCGCTACACTAATAAGTCATTTGCAAGAAATGATTTTTTAAGTTGGCTGTAAATCTACCTTTCCCTTCATCCTTACAACTAGAGACTTTACTATCTCTCATGGGAAGTAAGTGACAAGACTTAGTAACCACTTGATACACACTTTTCATTGTCTTTGGTAACATTCATAAATGAGCAGTGTGCCATTTGCATCCTCGGGCCTTGAGTGTTTGGGATTGAAATCATTAAACAGACAAAAGAAGATGTGGCCAGCTCCCCTCCAATTTATTGTCTAGAGACAAAGCTGGGGAACCTGTGAAAAAAAAAGCTATAAACAGGATTCGGATTCATCTCATTCTTGTAAACTGCAAACCAATGGGCCCTTTAAATCTTCTCAACAATTTCTCACAAAAATTAAGAAAAAAAATAATTATACAGATCAAGCATGATCTTTTTAAAGATCATATTCTGCAGTCATTAAAGATGAGTGTCTTGTAGCAATGCAAGTGTGGGTTAAGGAGCAAACCAAGTGAGCCCTACTGGCTTGGAGGCTTCTGGCCTATTTTAGCACGGTCCATGTTTTTTGGCTGTTTTTCTCCATGTAGATAGAAGTTGACAACCCATTGGCCAATTTGCATTACATATCAAAATGCATCATTGTGAACATATATTATTGCAAACATAATTTCTGAATATGTATGTGAGAGAAAAAAATTCATTTTGTTTGACTTGTCTATTTATAAACAGTCAATAGGTGTAACATTTTCCAAACATGTAATTTCTTTTAACGAACGGTCACATCCTCTCATCGTTACATTCAATTGTCACACCCTAAACTCTTTGCCAAAAGCCACTTTTGATGTGGTGTGCTGTGCCCTTTTCATCAAATGCCTCTTTGGTTAAGAGTTTCTCTTCTATTGGTTTACTCCTCTGGTGCACCAAGTTTGTTGTGCCTTTTCATACACTGAACTCAATTGCTCTCATGGAGTAGAAAAAATTGTGTGAAATGGTTATCCTCGGCCATTCACGATTTGCTAAATGAAAAGTTATCACGCGTGGCATACCGTTATTAGCCGGTGATAGCAAAAGTTCTACACAAGTGTTCTTCCTCATGGACGATGGCTTAAGCCATGCCATGATGGCCATGATGGTCATAATGATAAATACCGATAATTGACTATCAACATAATCACATGCTCCTCGACATTGAGCAAGCAACTTGCCATGAGGATTTATAACTCATCAAAAAATCTAAGGCAGGCATCATCAGCAATCCCTACAATTAGTTGGTGGCTTGTTTAAATGACAATAAGTTGTAGCCAGGCTGCCTAGCGTTTTCACGTCCTTTAAGGCCTTTCATGTGCTGCGCTAAATGTCTCTCTCACTAATTTGACAGGTTTGGAATATGCTGATCTGAAAATTCCCAGTTCATTCTTCCAAAACACATTTGCATCTATATCCAGCATTGACCATATTAATTGAATATTTTGTTATATATTGACTTCATCAAAAATAAATGCTGCAACTTTGATAAAAACCACTTTATAGATCAAATTAATTTGAATCACTTGCTGTTGGCTTACACTAACAGGAATTGATCTTCTCCTGATCCCTACCCCTTCTGTACTTGTTTTCCAAACACCTTACAACATGAGCTCCCCAGCTACAAATGATTACAGAATTGTCTTTCACCTTTTCTAAATATGATCCTCATGAGAACGATTAATCATTTTCTCTAAGAGCAGAATAATCTTTCACCATCAGAATCTCGCTGCATAACTTTTGTGGTACCTGTTGTAATTCTTTTCCTTCTTGCCATGCTTGCCCTACTGAAACACCCGGTCCCAGATGACGAACATACACAACCACTTGATCGTTGAAAGGATATGGATGCTTGACTACAAAAACAAAATGCACATATAAAATTATTTACAGTTAGATAATTATATCAGTGAATACCATACATATGTTACAAACCCAAAATAAATTTGCATATGGAAAAAATACTTGAGCTTGTGTTATAATGGCCCTTGCAGAAGCTAATGTTTGAGCAAACAGACAACTTATTGGCAAACAGCTGGTACCACAACTAAACCATGGCCAGACAGTTTTTCAATCATAGCTCAAAGGAAGTAGAGATGATACGAGAACTAGAAGTGGAAAGTGACGGGAACCGAGAACATAAATTTTTTTTGGGGAAAATTGAGAACCTAAGGAAAAGCATGTTGAGAAGACTTACATATATGCAAAACATAGGTAAGAATGGTTAGGAGTATATGATATATGTATTGTGTACACACATATTTATAGAGATCAAAGTTCCTGGACCTGTGCACCAAGTGCTCCAATTACTCCACATCTTTTAGAAACATCGTTGAGATGATCTACCATGTCTAAGTTTATAATTTTTGAATAGGCTAAGATACCATGTCTAATTTATTAGATTAAGACATCTCGTCAGAACATTCTTTTCTCATGTACTCAGGTTTTTCATTGGAAAAGTTAAGATTAATTTCTTTGAATAAAATAAAATATCCAAACGAAATTTTTGCAAAGAATGACCACTGCTAATAGTGAACTAGTGACCACAATGCATTGGATGTATGGAAAATCATACCTGGTTTTGGAAAACCCTCTGGGTATTCATGGAGATCAAACAGCCCATCCCCAAATTCATATGCTAGATCACAAGGTTGTTCAGTTGGCATTACTTCCTTAAGCTGTCCCACTACGAAGTACAAAGGACTAAAGGAATTTGCAAGTCCAGTAACAAATGATCCACCTGATTCATTACAATAATTGTTAAGAGTAATATCAACAAACTGCTTAGAGTTATATCAACAAACTTGATTAATTGTAGCCAATTAACCTCTACTCTTGGAATTGCAAACCATGCAATGAAAAAGTGGATTGAAAACATCCAAACAAACTCATCCTAAACTTTCAACTAAAATATGAAACTTACAGCTATTATAAGAAACCTCAAAGTACATGCTAAATTACAGTATCGGTAGTTCTATTTCTTATTCCGAACTATTGATAGTATCAATAGTTCTATTTGGATTCCTTTCTTTGGAAACAAAATAATTATTTTTGGATTCTTCCTCAAGATACGGATTAACTTTCCTTTAGTTTTACTGCACTGCCTTATAACATCCACCAAACCTTAAACTATCAGAGCAGCTCGCTCCCTCTGCAATTCCTCCAGTAAGAACAGCTCCTGTTCTATCCTACAGTTTTAGCATATCACTCATGCAAGAAGCATTCAAGCATAAGAATAACAGAACAGATTACTCTATTTTTGCAGTACATAACTGCATATTCAATATAAGGACTAATGAAACACATCGTGATTCATCTTCAACTGATATACCATGCTATCACATTTAGAAGGATAATGTTTGACAAGGAAAATCCTGTCAATATGCATAGGCCATGTGCTTAAAATCCCACACCATAGCTCTAAGTTATGTCCATAATGCTACAGAAAGGAACTATATCTTGTATATCATGGACCAATAAGAATCTAAATTAGTAACCAATGAAGCTTATTAATCTTATGGCACTGAATTTCTGTCATCACTTGTCCTAACTAATGCAACATGAGGGGGAAGCATTAAACATAAGTACTTGAATTTACTGTAACTTCATAAGTATGACTTGATAAATACAGTAGCTGAAACTCATAATTTACCCATATAACACATGTATTTTGGAGGTCTACTCCATCAACTTGCATAATATTATTCATGCAACTCTAACTTCAGCCATAATAATTGCACTGACAATCAGACCTACCATCTTACACTAGAATTATAGACGGATGTAAATGGGAAAGTAAAGATTCAACAACTCATCCATCACCTTAAAACTTGCACCGAAAATGATTTAGAAATAATATAGATAGATTTAAATGGGAAAATAAAGATCACAAGAACTCATCCATTGCCAATCCCCCATGAATATTAAGAAGCAAGGGAACATGCTACATTCAATTCAATTTTAATTTTCACAAGATGTGTAGTAAAAAAAAGCAAAATTAAATTACAAAAATCATAGAGGGTAAATAAGTTACCAATAAATCGTCCATAAATCTCCCCGTCCTTCCAAGAAAAAATTGCCTGGAATTTGCAGAACATCCAATTACACATCCCCTACAATACATGCATATACAAGCAGGGAGAAGAAAGGAAAAATCAATAGGAGTACAGGAGTTACCTTCTTGAAAGAGTTTATCCAAGAAATGGGCATTGGTCCTATTAAAGATTATCCAATATCAGTGCCACAAATTTTTTGAAAGGTAAATAAGATTCAGATTAAAAGGAGGCTCAAAATATACTTCTCCATGGGTTATTGTTATAACAGAAAAAGGTGGCATTTGCGAGCAAGTAACCTAGCCTATATAAGGAAATTAAGCACATAAATTCTCAGAAAATGAACTGGTTAAAATATGCAATCAGAAGTTTGAGGAAGCCTACTTCAACAAGGGGGATAGCAAATAACCATCCAATTATGACCAGAAATGTGCTATTTCCAACTAAAACAGTCCTACAAAAAAATATCCAACTAAAAGAGGAAACTTCCGCTCATCTAAATAAAGTCAGCAAGTAGTTTTTAACATCATATAAGCAGAAACTTTCATGTTCTTGACATCAATAGTTTATGAACTGTAAACCAATAAACTACGCCAACCAACAGATTACATTCATTATTAAAAAGCACTAATGAGGACATTAGAGCTTCCAGTAGAAAGAGCTCGATCTATGTAAGTTACCTCCATTTGTTCGGCAATTATAATATTCAAGAGAAATTGCACCATCTTCATTGGACAACAATTTAGATGCACTTCTCTTGGCTAAGTTGGGATCCTCGTATCTTGTGCCAGCTATCTCCCAAGCTCTTGATATGAGCCTGCATTAAAATTGTCCAGATGTCAAAGACTCTACATTCAATCTATTAATTTCAAAAGAAAATTCTTTATAAAATAAAGATACATAAGTGCCTTATGTCTTCATAACTTGTCATTGTAAGATGAGATTCAATGGATTTTATAGTATAACATAAACAAGTTACCTAGGTTCTAGCAATCGCAGCAGTCGATGACGCCTTTCCGGGGGAATATCATCAATTTTTTTCCTAACAAACACAGACATACAATTTAAAAAAGGGTAACTGATTAAGAATTAATATTTGTTCTTTTTCTCAGGATTTTCACAACAACGAAGAATAACTTCAAAGTGCCATAAATCTAAGTAACAAAATAACATAAAAAAATTATAATTAAAAAAATTATAATGATTGAAAAAACTGACCAAAGATATGCAGCGGGATTGTAAGAAGCCGAGTCCAGAGGAATCAAGTCCTTAGGAGGGTCAAGAAATGTGACAATGTCTTGCTCATCCAAGTAAGATTTTCTCCCAGTTGGAAGATATTCATATGGTTTCTCATCCCACGAAGATACATACCCTCTCCCACCTCCATTGACAGCACAAACTACACCACCAGTATACTGTAGAGACCCACTGCTGTACAACTGCAAGCCTGCACGCCCAAATAAAGACCGTAATCATATGTCCATACAAGTACATGCCATTTTTCTAAAACTGGAGACAACAAGACAAAACTAAAGGAGCATAATTTGCAGTTATACACACAAATACGTAAGTCCATACATAAGTACACACAAATCACACAAGCAAAAGTACAGTTTCACAAGCTTAAACAATGAACAACATGATATGGCCCTTTTGATTTCAGAGAAAATAAAAAATTGCGCTTCATTTTTCCAATTACTTATGAAAAAAAAACTAAAGCTTTAGCTAAACCGAACAACGAGCTGGTTCACTGACTTAACACTTCAATGAAATTCTGGGTTAACTACTTATTGTGCTTACTTGCCTCCGCAACTAAACAAGAGGAAAATAACTTCTTCTTTTTTTCTTTTTGGATGGAGATTGAGTTGCGGAGTTTAGAAATTACTTAGGAGTGAAAAAGAACTCACCTTTGACGGAATTATATCGACAAAGTAGACACCTTTGGTAAGGGAAGTTGATTTGGCGGGAAATGGATGATGAGAAGAGATTGGATGGGAGGGGACGAATGGGATTGTTGAAGGTTGCTGCTGCTGCCTCTGCCTTCATTTGCTTCTCATCAAAATGCAAAACAAGTTTTTGGGTTTTGGAGGGCACTCTAGAAATAGAAAGAAAGGTTTATTTTTGTGCCCAAAAAAAATGTTTTTTTTTAAATTTCAAGTCAAACTTCAACACCCATCTGGCTTTCGATTTGTTACATCCCTAGGCCTTATTCCGCTTATCTTGCAGCCGCAGATACATGATCTCTGCTCTCATTTTCTTCACATTTTTCTGAACCCTTTCCAACTTATCATCATAATCATCATCATCATCACCTCCTCCATTCTCAACTGTTGTCCTAACTGTCACTTTTTTTTTCAAGTCTGCAGCCCTCTCAATCTCATTGACCACCAAAAAATTTCTCACAATATTTGTCTCTACTTCTCAGAAATCAACCCAATTGAATTAACAATCTTACACGAGCTTTCCATCAAATGCTTCTCCAAACTCAATCTCTCACAACCCATGTGGCTCTTCCATTCACTCCTTCAAAACCAATTCCCAAAACCCAATTCTTCACTCCTTCAAAGCAAAATCCGTTTCTCAAAACTCAGTGGAGAACACTAAAATGCTCGCTTTCGACTGTTTCAGAGCCGACCCACTTGGAGAAGAAGACCCATAAGCCGTTTCCGGCTGAGGTTTCAAGGACTATTATGGAGTTGGTGTCTGTGGGCACGCTTTCTACTTTGACCCAAGAAGGTTGGCCTTTGGGTATTGGCGTTCGCTTCGCTGTTGACCCAGAAGGCACTCCAGTCTTGTGCTTGAATGCCTCTAATCGGCAGTTCTCCATTGACAGGAGGTCTAGCTTCCATGTCCAGGTGCTTTTCTCATCGAACACTATGTGTTTGCATTTTGTTCACAGCCTCAAGGGCTCTAATTTTCTAAGGTATATGGTTGATTATGAAGCTCAATGTAAGGCGGCGTTGTTATTTTCTTTGTTGCACAGTTAGAGCAATGTGGGCTGCGGACGCCTCAATGCACGATATTAGGTAGCATTGACAAACCAGAAGACAGGAAGATGTTGAAGGTAAATTATGTTTGCTTAGGTCGAATAGGTTTACTTGGAAGTGCTCTGTTATTTATCAATTTATCATTTACGTTAGAATGTAATTAGTTCGTTGTTAGTGTGCTGCTTAAGTTGTTTAAAGGAAGCATGTTAAAAGCATAATTGTTGCTGATCTTTGGGGGGACTAAAGATGGAATTCACTGTAAAGGATGCATAACTTGAAAGTAAACATATTTACGATGCTTGGTTTTTGGTCGAACTTCCGTAGTCTTCCACCAACTGCAACTAGTCCGTTTCAAATTACGATTGCATTATTTGCATTAGGATAGAATATTAGGATGTTTATGGCAGACTGCCATGGCTTTTTTCAAGTAAGTACTAGAGCTATCTCTCATCTGCTCCCGGCTTGCATAACCTTTAAACAGTATGATTTATGATTGACCAACATGTACCGTATTATGGTTCTGAGGTGCAGGTTATTGTTTTGTGTGTTATGTGCAGTTTTGACTTTAGGATTGGGTTGGATTATTGTTTGGGTGTAATTGGAAGTTGAATATAAGGGCAGAAAATTAGAGGATAAGATATGTTGTAAGGGCTTCCAGGAATCTCACATGGGAGAAGTTTATTGGAACCTCAACATTAAAATAAAGTGACCTTGCTGAAAATTTCAGTTTGTGTATCTCTTACAAAGCCTTGCTTATAGAGAGGCAATCTGATATAAAAAGGAAAAGATTTCTTAATAATAAGCAACCCAATTAAATTAAACCCAAAAAAGGAAATCTTATAGAAAATCAGTTTCCAGATACCCAGAATCACTGCAACCTGAGGCAAATATTTCTGTGGTCATGCTCTGGGCTTTCTGGACCAGGCTGTGTCTAGACTTTACACCACTTTAGTATATTGGCTTGGCAATGAACCTTCCTGACTTAGTTGGTCTTCCAAATTTGTACAGACCTAAACTCCAGCATTGTGTGGTTGGATTTATGTGCTGGACTCAGTCCTCCAACAGAAGCATAGACAGTCCCATGTAGGTATTATGTGTAGTGGCTTCTTGATACCTTATTAATCTATTATTTTCAACTAAAAGAGCCCTATTGATCCATTTAAAGCTAATAAAAAGCATTCATGTGTGATCTGTTTTTTTGCTAGTATATATGTGTGAGGTGTTATATTGTTATAATCTGATCTTTCATTTGGATGTTCAATGCCATTACTGTCAGTACCTTCATTCAGTATGGACAAAGAGGTTTGGAGAAGAAGTCGACGAAGATCTTATATATGTTGTTTCTGTGGAACGGGTACTTCAGTTGGAGGACTTTAAAGAGGTATTTTGGTGTTTTATTTGCTCCTGTGCTGGACTAGTAATTATAAGCAATAGTTATTTACGATACTGGTATGGCCTAATCCTATAAAGTTTTGCCTGTAGCTCTTAAATTGGTATGTATTTAGACAGAGGACTTATTCAAAGGCTTATCTGTTTTCTAACTTTGATGATACTTCACAGGGTGGTGTATGGGTTACATCTTCAGATTATAAAAATGCACAACCTGATCCTCTTCGGGACTTTGCGGAAAACCTAGTGAATGAGATAAACACCAACAACATTGAAGATATTAACCGTTTCTGCAACATCTATGCTGATTTGAACTTCCAGGTTTGTGCCAACCAACTTTTTGTGATCGTTGGTTATGTCTTCAGTTGCATATTGATTCCTCACTACCAGAAACACTCAATTACATTCAAGATTTGTTAACTTAAACTAGACAATGCCAAGACTAGTTGCAAGGTTTGGGTCAAAACTAATGTGTTTTTTAACCTTGAAAAGAAAGCAACCAATGAGTGAGCTTTCACTTGAGGGGTTCATGCAATTTGATGCAATAAATCATCCTAGCAGATTTAATTGAAGGAGTGTTTCAACTCTTGCCTAAAATATGGACTAATTGACAATCCCAAGTTAACTCCAATGTGTCATTTTTCAGTCATCCAACCCATAATTTGTATCATTGCCTGTTCAACAATATTGAGGTGTCAGAAAAACCTTCCATTTCTATTACAGGATTTCTATAAACCAAATAACCATTTTTCCTCAAGAAGCTTGAGAGCATTAACTGTTTAGTAAAAGTGTTTATTAACATTCCTTGAGGACTGGTTTATACATCACTTTCAGTGAATCTGCGTTTAGTTGTATTTTCTCTTGCAATGTGGTCATGGTACACTGTTTTGCTCTGCAGGTTTCTGAAGCAAAATTGATTTGGATTGATCGGTTAGGCTTTGACCTACGTCTTTGGTCTCCTCAGGAAGGTATATTCGAGGTTCGCATTCCCTTTCCCAGGGATGTGACCGACGAGAAGGGTGCAAAATCAACGTTTAATTGTATGTCTCAATTAGCTTGGGAGGTGGAAAAGAATTTCTATGCCCCAGATTTTGAAAGAGTGAAACAAGTTAAGCAGATAGCATACAAGGGAGAGTAAACTTTGTGTGTGCTGTGTTTATAAAATGTATTGATATGCTTACTTTAGCTGCAAAAGAGGCAACTTGGTTGAGCTTGTTACTTTGTACAAGGCTTTTAATATGCCCTTATTACTAACTTTCAGAGATGTCACAATTTTGAGATTGTATTTGAGTTCCATATAATTTGAGAAATAAATTTTAATCCTTTTTATGGCAAATATAATCTCATTATAATAGCTAACGGGGTCTAGCCTAGTGAAAAAGAATCTTGACTTGGAGACCCGTGTGTGTGAGAAAACCTCTCTCCCCTTTCTTAACTTTGTCAACAACAAAAATGCCATTATGCTCTAATGTCTTTGAAAACCTCTCTCCCCTTTCTTAACAATGTTATCAAGTTCTCTGAGGAATTGTTTCCTTTCGGAATTTATTTGCTGTAATGTAGTCAGGTTGGCTGAATGCAACTCTTTTCATCCTTTCGTAACAAATCTATTTTCATACTTCCATAAATACACCCCCAAAAAAATGCAACATATTCCAGTCCTAGAAAGAAAAAAGAAAAAAAGAAAAAATCCACAATCAGCATGATGACGTGGACCATTCTGAAAAGAAGAAAATAAAAAGAAAGAAAAAATAGCGGCAAAAGACAAAGAACAAACGAAGGAAAATATAAAGACACTCATCATAAAAATGTCAAAACCCTAGACCCTTTTCTATCAGAGTGAAGCAGAGCAGGTAAAGCTCTCTCTGGGTTTTGAGAGGGTTCGTATTTAATTAATCAGAATTCATTAACAATATATTCTTGTATTATATTTAAGTAGGTGATGGGACTCTCTAATACCCTCGGTTGGTTGTTGGCAATTGGCGTTTGGTGCAGTGCATATCTCGCAGTTGCAATCTTCTCATCTTCCCCAATCTTCAACTTTCTCCGTCTTCTTATCTGAATTAGCAGCTTCGGAAGAAAACCCAGATATCTAAAATGGGTTATGCACAACTGGTTATTGGCCCTGCTGGCAGCGGCAAGGTAATTTCACACCATGATTGACATTTTTTTATTTTTTTTTATGTACCCAATACTTGAATCAGTCGATTTCTTGCTCTAATTTGCACCAACTGTTTGAATGTGGGATACATCATAATCACATAGGCAATCACTGTGATTATATATTGTTTTGATGTTTTTATGTACCCATTTCTTGTTTTGATAAGTATGTTTGCTTCTTGGAACCAGTCGATTTTCTTCTCTAATTTGCACCAACACTGTTTGAATGCGAATGTGGGATGCATCATAATCACATGAGCAATGAGTATCGATTAATATGTTTGCATGTTTTTATGTACCCATTACTAGTTATGTTGAGTTCTCTTCTTGGAACCAGTCGATTTTCCGCTGTAATTTACACTAACACTGTTTGAATGTGAGTGTGGGATGCATCATAATAATCACATGGGCAATGAGTATTGATTAATATGTTTGCATTTTTTATACACTCACTTTGATGAGTTCGTTTGCAACCAGCTGACTAATTGCTCTAATTTGCACCAACACTGTTTGAATGTGGGATACATCATAATCACATGGGAAATCGCCGTGATTAATATTTTCTTTGAGGTCTTTTGTTTACCCATTATTATTTTTGATGAATTTGTTTGCTTCTTGCAACCAGTCGACTTATTGCTCTAAATTGCACGAACACTGTACAACTGTTGGGAGGAATATTCATATTATTAACTTGGATCCTGCTGCAGAAAATTTTGACTACCCTGTGGCCATGGGTAAGTAGTCAATTCATTTATTTGGTCACTTGTTTTCATTCACTGCACTCAACTTGTGTTCTCTTCTTCTCTTTTCCCTCTTGCAGATATTAGGGAGCTTGTTTCCTTGGATGATGTTATGGAGGAACTTGGATTGGGTCCCAATGGTGGACTTTTGTACTGCATGGAGTATCCTTTATTTTTCCCCTCAAATTGTTCTTTGCATTTCTTATGGTTTTGTTTCTTTTTGTTTATTTTTTACCTGTGGAGAATTGCAATTTTTTAAAGGGCCAGACATGGAATGTTTATGTGTGGAAAAAACAGTGAATCATTTATGCCACTTCCGGGTGTGATCCCTCTCTGTAAAAACTTTAATTCTTTGGTGAATGGCCTTAATCTTGATTCCTAGACACCTTGAAGACAATCTGGATGATTGGCTTACAGAGGAATTGGACAATTACTTGGATGATGACTACTTAGTTTTTGACTGCCCAGGTATCCATACTAACACTGCATGCTTTGTTGTCTGTATTTATTATCATGCACTAGTGGTTGAGATCTATTGATGAAAAGCTGACTACAATGAGGTTAAGGTCTTTTATAAAAGTAATTACATTAAAAGGGAAAAACTGAAATGATGGAGTTTTTTATAGGGTTAGGGAAAGAATACTATGTAAATAAACAAAAAAAGAAAGAACTAGGGCTCGTGTATCTGTTTATCTAAAAGATGGGCCGTTTATCTAGAAGGCATTCATATAGATATATTTTCCTCGGTCACTTATTACCACACGATGCTGTCAGTGATTTAACTTTCGAGAAATAGGATTAAAAATTGGTACTGCATGGTTTTTCATACTAGTAAAGTAGAATTATGTCAAGGCTCCTAGTCCTGTGTGTGTGTTTTTTGTTTTAAAGGAATTGTGTGACACAAAATAATTTGGGACTTCTGCTTTTGTTATAGGCCAGATAGAACTTTTTTCGCATGTTCCTGTGCTAAAGAACTTTGTGGACCATTTGAAGCGTAAAAATTTCAGCGTCTGCGCCGTATATTTGCTTGATTCACAGGTCCGTATAACTTTTATGTTCTACTCTGTAGCCTTTTCTCTTCCTGCCTTGGCATTACTCGTTATTCTGTTTCTCCCCAAATAAATCGTTCCAATTTCTATTGAAACAGTTCATGACGGATGTGACAAAGTTTATTAGTGGGTGCATGTCATCTCTTTCTGCAATGGTTCAACTTGAAGTACCACATGTCAATATCCTTTCCAAAATGGACCTTGTGGCCAAAAAAAAGGATCTTGAAGAGTGGGATACTCTATTCTCTCCTACTGCTATCACCTTGCATGTTTTTTTTCAATCTGTTTAGATTATTTTAATTGCTCAATCTGTTCTGCATTTTTAATGTTTCAGTTTCTTGAATCCGGAGCCTCAAGTTTTGTTATCAGAGTTGAATCAACGCATGGCTCCTCAGTTTGCAAAGCTAAACAAATCTTTGGTTGAACTGGTAAGTGAGAAGCCACTGAAAACCCAAGAATACTTTTCTGAACTTTGAGATTTGTTGCAGGAGTTCTCAAGATTTTGGTCACGATGCACAATATCTGTATTGGTCTACACACAAAAATACACAAAAATTGCATTACTGCAAATAGTGACCATCTTCAACTGTTTGATTTGTTAGGTTGATAATTATGGCATGGTGAGTTTTGTGCCTCTAAACTTGAGAAAAGCGACAAGGTACTCAATTTTTATGCATGTTTGCTTGGATGTCTTTAGTCTTATCTTGTGATCACTCTTTTGCACGTCAAAGATGTGTTGAATCTGTAGATTACTTTAAATTGTTTTTGTGTTTTCATTTTCTTTACATTAACTCTTTTATTAACGGGTAAGTAATCTTAGAGTAATGTTTCTTCTGTTTTCCTTCTCTTTTTTGGCAGCATAAGCTATGTCCTGGCACAGATCGATACCTGCATTCAGTATGGAGAAGATGCTGACGTGAAGATTAAGGATTTTGATCCAGAAGATGAAGATTAAGGAACTTGATGATCTAGAAGATGGCTGAGCTACCTTATTAAACTTTTAACTCCTGATCTTTAAATGATCTAAAAGATGGGGGTAGCATTGTGAATATGCAAGACCAAATTATCAACTCTTGTTTGAAATATGAGAATTATATGTGAAAGAGTAGAACTATATGAAGTACATTTCTGATTATATAACTTCTATTACAGTATCAAGGCTAAATAAACTTTTACATGTTTTATTCCTTTTTGTTGGCAATAGGCATTTGATCAATTCATCCAATTTCTTATCCGACGATCCGCCTTTCTCCACGGCATGCCTTGCCATGGTCCCAAATAGTCCTGCCCTCTCCCTAGCCCTCCTCCCCTTCTCACCTCCCATCAACTCCTTTATTCCATCACAAATCACATGGCGATCAAGGGCAGTGATCTGCCCTTGTGAAACCATTAACCCTGCTTTCAATCCCATTGCAACATACTTGGCATTCAGTGGTTGCTCTGCTCCCATTGGCCAGGCCAATAGAGGGACACCATTGACAAGCTCTCCAACACCGAGTTCCACCACAATGGCTCAAAAACCCTGCCACCTTTGGGTGTGCTAGGATACTCCGCTGGTCCACCCAATCACATACAACCAACCCTCTCCCTTCCACCCTTCTCTCCCATCCTTCATCTGAAGCCCAGGTCCCCGATCGGACGGCCCAAATGAACAGACATCCCGCCATCTCCAGCCCGTAAGCGATCTCGTCCATCTGATCACCGCACTGGATCCGTCTTGCTCATCCAGCCACTTGATGTAGGGACATGATTCACTCTTATCGTGGGACCCATGAGTCCCTCGTGGAATATAATCATAGAGCAGAACGGGCCCCACACACCATCGCCTTGGCCTGCTTGTGCAAAGCTTCCAATGCAGCCACGTACTCGCATTCAAGCTCCTGAAAGCTATTCACAATCACACCCCAGCTATTCCTATCGGCCTCTTCAACCTCCCATATCATACGTGAAAACGGGTCATCCTCCGGGTCATTACTCCGGGGCTGTAAGTCGGATCTATCCAATGCGAACGGAAGACTCAAATCGGGCAACTCTACTACAGAACCCGAAACCGACGTCGGTTCACGTTGGACATCCATGGAAGAAACGGTTTTAAGAACAACCATGGGCAGCACCCCCATCCCATGCGACACAACACGTGGAATGTCGAAAGAGCGACACGTGTCGAGCGTCCAACTGAGAAAGAAGTCAGAGATTACGCAAATTGGGCGGGAACCATTTCCCACCATCTCCTTCAGAAGAGATTCGAATGGCCGTTTCATGTTTTTGGTGGCTGCGATGAAAGGAACGAGAAGCTCCATGGAAGGAAGGCTGGCGGTGTTCTCGCAGCCTCGAGGGAGGTCAGGGACGCTTGGAAATGGCACGACGGAGATGGAGATTGACGAGCAGTCTGAAACTTTGGAGCTTATAAACGGTGCGTTTTGCGGGGTGGTGACGACGGTGACTTTCAGGCCACGGCTTGACAAGGCCTTGGATATGTCCAGCAATGGAATGGTGTGGCCTTGAGTCATGAAAGGGAAAATTACTGCATGGGGTGGTGGTGGTGGTGGAGAGGAAGTAGCCATGGTCACTGGAAGTAGCAAAATTCGAATGAGTGGGGAAAAAGTTTTGAGTTGGGTTTTATTTATAGAGTTTGATTATTGAATTAGAATTTTAAATCTACGTATTGTTCATAGAATCTTATAGAGTTTAATGGCTTTCCTAAACGTGTGAGGCTCCGCATTTTCAATTTCAAAGTGCAATTAATCTAATTACCTATACCTTCATTCAATGTTTAATTCTCTGCACTTTGCCACCATTTTGATGAGTGAGTAGATTTTCTTTGCAAATGTGATTAATTACAACAAAGAATAATTAATGGGTTTTTTTTTCATGGATTTAAAGTTGAGATGTCGTATGATCAAGTGAAGAGAAATATCGCTATATTAATAGACTAGTTTTTTCGAAGATAAAATGAACTTTAACAAGAGTGTAAACATATACTTAAATTTATATTTTCCTTTGTACTAGCAACATTGTCCTAATAATTAAAATTAAGATAGAGTGCTGCTAAACGAACTCTAAAATTAATTGATACACCCTATGATATAAGTATATCCTAATATTTAAATCATAATATAAAATTACCTAAGTACACCATATTTAACTACCAAAATTACTCTTAGTACACCCTAACACTTTATCACATTAATAATGCTACAGTCACCAACTTAAATCTCAGCTTTTGAATACCAATACATGTGGCACATAACATGCCGATACATCTCATTTGCCACAGTCATATATTCTTTTTATGCTTTCTCTGTTCATCTGCTTTTGTTGGTATTGATTCTTTGTGAATACCATTTATGAATTATTGGCCTTATTGCATCAGGTTTCATGTTGGTTTGTATCCGGCACATGGTAAATATGTGTTCGTATAAATTGGAAAACATACCCACACGATTCTATCAATCCAAAGAAGTACAACAATTCTTTATCCTCAATCAAATTTTGTGAAAGTACTAACTTTCCTTTTGATGATGGACAGCTGATGCACTCATCTCAACTGGCTTAGCAGATTTAGGCTATGTGTATGTCAACATAGGTATTATTCTGGCATACCTTAAGTATTTGGCAAACTTAATACATACTTATGTTTATGATGTTATTCAATGTCATTGACTGCAGATGATTGCTGGTGTCGAACACGAAATTCGGAGGTCAGTTGAATTCCATGACTTCAACCCAAACATAGTTCACCGTCTCTATAACTTGTATCAGCAATTTTTGATTTTGTGGTCTGTGAGGAGCACCATCTTCATTTTATATGAAGAAAATTTGGCATTAATGATTCAAATGCAACTTCTCATAATTACATCTCAGTCTAGTAGTTATAACTCGTCTGTCCTCTATGTGTCTATGCACCTAGAGGATTAGCATAGATGAATATATGCAAGGTTTTCTATAAAAGTTCTTTGCATGGGAAAACCTGTAAAATTGAGCAATTGATGTATATTTGAATTTTGATTCCTTAAAGTTGTTGTTTGGTTGAGCAGGGTCAAATGGTCCCTGATCCTAAAACATTTCCGTCAGGAATTAAAGCTCTTGCCGAGTATATACACGAAAAAGGACTCAAGCTTGGAATTTATTCTGATGCTGGGTAAGTTGAAATTTTTATGTATTTTTACTTGACTATCTAGTGTGCTATACTTGTTGAACCCGCCAGATATTTAAGTGGATAACGCATTATATGTTCCTAGTTCTAGGGTATAACAAGATAGGTTTAAATGGTAATCTGCCTTTTCTTTAAGATTGAATTCCATAAGTAAAATACATGGAGAGTTTTCTCGGGAGGATCTTTTGTCCCCCTTTCTTATAAAGGATCTATCCCTATTTATAGGGGGAGATGATGAAATGATGTATTTACAAGCCGAGCCACATGTGTCGCCTCCTCAATTAGTGAGGGGGTAGTTGGAGGGGCTTTTCGCCCATGCCCTTGTGGTGGCCTGCATTCCCTGCCTCTGTAGGGTAGTGGGGGGGGGGGGGGGGGGGGGGGGGGTGGTGGTGGTTGGTTGGGTAACCCTCTTGTTAGGCATAGGGGTGGTCTTGTCTTGATGAAATGGGGTCTTGTCATCAATAAGGGCAGTTCCTTATATGATGGATGTTGTCAGGGTAATGTCTTTGGGAGCCGAGACCGAGGTCTTTTTAAGACGTCCACGTGTTGTCTTTTGATTGGGCAGCTTGGCTCGATGCATGCCGAGTGTCAACAAGTCCCCCCAACTCTCCGGGCAAGTTCCCCTAGGTGGGGAGTTTGTCTGTTTTTTACAAAGCTGCCCGATTTGGGAAACGTCTTGGAAGGATATAGGTGTGCATTAGCTGCGTGCGAGGAGGCGGGCGTTTTCCTGGTCGGGTCGGCAATGGCCGTGTGCTCGGTTGGCCTGATGAGTCCCTCAACTCCCCAGATAAAGGCTGGCTTGCCTCTGGTAGACGGAACGGTGCAGACGCGTGTTGGATGTTCGGGATGTATGACATATATTGTGAGGGTCATGATGAGTCCGGGGAATCGGAGTGGGTGGGACGTTTGGGGTCGTGTCGATTGGGAAATACAAGGCATCACTGCCGCATGTCTTGATCCAGAGGCGGTAACGAGATGGATCGGATGGTGGTTGGAGCGCGGGCTGGGGTATATAAACCTTGGGATGCGAAAGTTGTTCATTTTCGCCTTTGTGATATTGCTTTGAATAACGTCCCTGTGAGCTTCGTTCTGGGAGTCCGAGTTAGTGTTCGCAGAGGAGGAGCTAGTGGGGCCTGAGCTAGGCAGGAGAGGTCCGCGTTTGAGCCAGGTGAGAGTCCCTCTTTCTCTGTTTGTTTTAATTGTTGTGGTAACGATGTCTAGGGGGACAGATGGGAGTGAGTCCAATAGGGGTAGTATAAATTTCGGAGCGTTGGATGAGGCCTTGCATCAGTTAGGTGACAGGCTAGTGGTGGGGATAGAGGCCGAGGAAGAGCCTTTAGTGGTAAAGGTGACAACCTCGTCGGAAAAGTGAGAGGGGGATCAAAACTTGGAGGGTGATCCTGATGCTGAGGCGGAATAGGGGAGTAGTCTGCAGATACAGTGCCGACGCGTATGACGCATGAGCTACTGGAGAGGATTAGGCGATAGTATGACGTGCCGAGAGATGTGGTCTTCACGCTGCCGCAATCGGATGACCTACTGAGCCGACCGCCAAGGGGATGGGTGACGCTATACTGGGAGATGTTTAAGAATGGTCTACGCCTGCCCCTACATCCGTTTGTGCAAAGATGGATGGCTTTCCTTGACGTCGCCCTTCATAAGATGAACCCAAATTGCTGAGGACCATCTTGTGTATGTTTATGTTATGGAGAAGGCACCGTGGGATCGAGCCGAGCACGAACATCCTGAGGTGTTGCTATGGGCTAAGGAAGAGCCCGAAGCAAGATGGGTTCTTCTATCAGCAAGCCTTGCAGGGGAAATTGTTGGAGAATAGCCCAGTTCACAGAACTCGTGGAAAGATCACTGGTTTTTTGCGACAGGGTGTTGGGAAGTGGCCTTGGGGGTGGAGAGGCCGAGGGCTCTGGTGGCGAGGCGGTTTAGGGAGAAATGTGGGGTGTTTTTACAGTGGTCGGCTTGCCGGGAAAAATTTGGGGACTGGGTTCTGTTTTGAAATCGCAGTGGACTGGGAGAGCGGGGAACTGTCCGATGATGAAGTGGGGTAACTTGAGGTGATCCGTGCGTTGCCGCCTAGTGCTCGTGACACGACCGAGCTGTTGTCGACCAGCTCGTTGAGAAGGTCCGCTCAGCTAGATCCAATCCCACAAGGTAAGTTATTCTCGGTCTCGTGTCTAGTTGTTTCTTTTTATGTAAGGGTTGAACTGACATGTTGTTGTGTAACGATGGGCATTGACAGGAATGATCCGAAGGTGCGGCAGTTGTTAGAGAAGCTGCTCAAGAAGGGAGCCGAGACATTGGGATAGGGGCCGAGAGTGCCGCCTCTAGCTCGAGCCAGGGACGAGGTTATGGCGCCCAGCACTCCAGTTGGGCAGGCGGAGGGCCGATCGCCCGTGCAACCGCAAGGCCAGGATCGTGGGAAAAGGTCGATGGTGGAGGAGGGGGAGCCACTGTTGACAAAGAGGCCAAGGATCGAGGAGGGAGAGGAGGAAGCGATAGTCCCCCCACCGACCATACATCTTGAGAGGATGAAGGACAGGTTAGTACTCTCGGGGGAGATGTCGTTGGAGGGTATGGCGGGCAATGAGAGCAATGGCATTTGAGCAGAGCGTTCGGGTAAGTTGGCTCGGTCTCGACTCCCAAAGACATTACCTTGACAACAGCCATCATATAAGGACTAGGAACATATATTGCGTTATCCACTTAAATATCTGGTGGGTTCAACACATCAGATTCTCTAGACTCTCCAGGTTGGCTCGCTTGCTTTTTACCATCTTGCATTTGCTTACCTGAGCTAGCCTTCATTTCAACAACGTTCTCCTTAATTTCGTTCAGCTTTTCATCATGTTCACGTTTGAAGTTGCAGCAAGTTCGAACTTCATCTTGTCGATGGCTATGTCCATGGTTTTGGAACAACCATGGTCTACCAAGGATTTGATGAAACTGCATGTGTTGATTAGCAGCTCTCCATTTGTTGTAACCACACCCACAGCTGTGGCTCCCTTCAAAAAGTTCATCATTTTTGCATTCCAAGAGAGAGAGAGCCCACAGTATCCTCTTCATTAAGAAGTGTGTTGACATGTTTGCAGTCATCAAGGCTTACTTTGATGACTACTTCTCCAGGGGCTAACTTCTCACAGACAATGATAGTCTACTTGAATGAAGTGGGTAGGCCGTTTAAAAAGTATTGTGTGAATGCATTGACATGACCAGGCTTCATTTTAGAGAGTGGAGATAAGAGAGGATGGAGTATAAAGAGGAGGAGAGAATATTACAGAGGGTGAGGGAGGAGGAGGAGGAGGAGGGAGTATAAAGAAGAAGAGAAAACATTAAAGAGGGTGAGGGAAGGAGGAGGACGACGAAGAGGAGAAAGAGACCAAGGACCGAGGAGGGGGAGGAGGAAGCGATCGTCCCCCCACCGACCATACATCCTGAGAAGATGAAGGACAGGTTAGTACTCTCGAGGGAGATGTCGTTGGAGGGTATGGCGAGCAATGAGAGCAATGCCGTTTGAGCAGAGCGTTCGGGTAAGTTGGCTCGGTCTCGACTCCCAAAGACATTACCTTGACAACAGCCATCACATAAGGACTAGGAACATATATTGCGTTATCCACTTAAATATCTGGTGAGTTCAACACATTAGATTCTCCAGACTTTCTAGGTTGGCTCGCTTGCTTTTTACCTTCTTCCATTTGCTTACCTGAGCTCGTCTTCATTTCAACAACGTTCTCCTTAATCTCATTAAGCTTTTCATCATGTTCACGTTAGAAGTTGCAGCAAGCTTCGAACTTCATCTTGTTGATGGCTATGTCCATGGTTTTGGAACCACCATGGTCTACCAAGGATTTGATGAAACTGCATGTGTTGATTAGCAGCTCTCCATTTGCTGTAACCACACCCACAGCTATGGCTCCCTTCAAAAAGTTCATCATTTTTGCATTCCGAGAAAGAGAGCCCGCCGTATCCTATTCATTAAAAAGTGTGTTGACATGTTTGTAGTCATCAAGGTTTACCTTCATGACTACTTCTTCAGAGGCTAACTTCTCACAGACAATGATAGTCTGCTTGAATGAAGTGGGTAGGCCGTTTAAAAAGTATCGTGCGAATGCATTGACATGACCAGGCTTCATTTTAGAGAGTGGAGATAAGAGAAGATGGAGTATAAAGAGGAGGAGAGAATATTACAAAGGGTGAGAGAAGGAGGAGGAGGAGGAGGAGGAGGGAGTATAAAGAGGAAGATAGAGTATTAAAAAGGGTGAGGGAAGGAGAAGGACGACGAAGAGGAGAAAGAGGCCAATGACCGAGGAAGGGGAGGAGGAAGCGATCGTCCCCCCACCGACCATACATCTTGAGAGGATGAAGGGCAGGTTGGTACTCTCAGGGGAGATGTCGTTAAAGGGTATGGCGGGCAATGAGAGTAATGGCGTTTGAGCAGAGCGTTCGGGTAAGTTGGCTCGGTCTTGACTCCCATAGACATTACCTTGACAACAGCCATCATATAAGGACTAGGAACATATATTGTGTATCCACTTAAATATCTGGTGGGTTCAACACATCAAATTCTCCAGACTTTCCAGGTCGACTCGCTTGCTTTTTACCTTCTTCCATTTGCTTACCTAAGCTCGTCTTCATTTCAACAACGCTCTCCTTAATCTCATTTAGCTTTTCATCATGTTCACATTTGAAGTTGCAGCAAGCTTCGAACTTCATCTTGTCGATGGTTATGTCCATGGTTTTGGAACCACCATGGTCTACCAAGGATTTGATGAAACTGCCTATGTTGATTAGCAGCTCTCCATTTGCTGTAACAACACCCACAGCTGTGGCTCCCTTCAAAAAGTTCATCATTTTTGCAATCCGAGAGAGAGAGCCCGCCGTATCCTATTCATTAATAAGTGTGTTGACATGTTTGTAGTCATCAAGGTTTACCTTGATGACTACTTCTCCAGAGGCTAACTTCTCACAGACAATGATAGTCTGCTTGAATGAAGTGGGTAGGCCGTTTAAAAAGTATCGTGCGAATGCATTAACATGACTGGGCTTCATTTTAGAGAGTGGAGATAAGAGAGGAGGGAGTATAAAGAGGAGGAGAGAATATTACAAAGGGTGAGGGAAGGAGGAGGAGGAGGAGGTGGGAGTATAAAGAGGAAGAGAGAGTATTAAAGAGGGTGAGGGAAGGAGAAGGACGACGAAGAGGAGAAAGAGGCCAATGACCGAGGAAGGGGAGGAGGAAGCGATCGTCCCCCCACCGACTATACATCTTGAGAAGATGAAGGGCAGGTTGGTACTCTCGGGGGAGATGTCGTTAGAGGGTATGGCGGGCAATGAGAGCAATGGCCTTTAAGCAGAGCGTTCGGGTAAGTTGGCTCGGTCTCGACTCCCAAAGACATTACCTTGACAACAGCCATCATATAAGGACTAGGAACATATATTGCGTTATCCACTTAAATATCTGGTGGGGTTCAACACATCAGATTCTCCAGACTTTCCAGGTCGGCTCGCTTGCTTTTTACCTTCTTCCATTTGCTTACCTAAGCTCGTCTTCATTTCAACAACGCTCTCCTTAATCTCGTTCAGCTTTTCATCATGTTCACGTTTGAAGTTGCAGCAAGCTTAAAACTTCATCTTGTCGATGGCTATGTCCATGGTTTTGGAACCACCATGGTCTACCAAGGAGATGATGAAACTGCCCGTGTTGATTAGCAGCTCTCCATTTGCTGTAACCACACCCATAGTTGTGGCTCCCTTCAAAAAGTTCATCATTTTTGCATTCCGAGAGAGAGAGCCCACCGTATCCTCTTCATTAAGAAGTGTGTTGACATGTTTGTAGTCATCAAGGCTTACTTTGATGACTACTTCTCCAGGGGCTAACTTCTCACAGACAATGATAGTCTGCTTGAATGAAGTAGGTAGCCCATTTAAAAAGTATCGTGCTAATGCATTGACATGACCAGGCTTCATTTTAGAGAGTGGAGATAAGAGAGGATGGAGTATAAAGAGGAGGAGAGAATATTACAGAGGGTGAGGAAAGGATGAGGAGGAGGAAGATGGAGTATAAAGAGGAGGAAAGAGTATTAAAGAGGGTGAGGGAAGGAGGAGGACGACAAAGAGGAGAATGCTGCTGCATTACCCTTATGTCTATATATACGACAAAAATATGCTTATAGTACTATCATTTTAAGTTTTGGAATTGTTGACTCATTAATAGTTGGAAGTTTAATTTATTCTATAACTGAAGTATATTGTAGTGTTTGATAAATTATATATTAAGTGTTTTAAATTTTTTATTTAAAAAATGTTTGGTAGTGCTGAAAAATGTTGTTGCTCAATTTGTACAAAATAAATAAAATTTACACACACACACACACACACACTCTCTCTCTCTCTCTCTTTCTCTCTCTATATATATATATATATATATATATATATATACAGTCCCCTTCTATTAAGGGATCCCTTAAATAATTTTATTTGAGGGACGCCCTTTAGGATACCCTATAATTTTTTTTCCAATGATCCAAATCATCTATTTTTTAGGTATTCATTCATATATCATCCTTACAAAAAATTAGACAAATCGGAAACCGTTTCGACATCCAATTGTGTCTTACAAAATCAATGAACAATGTGCTTTAAGAAATTACTAAAACTTTAATAACTCAATTGAATGGTCAAATGATATCGGATTCAAGTGATTTTTTGTAAATATGATCTTTGAATAAGTATCTACAAAATAGATGGTTTGGATTAGTGAAATACAATCCGGAGTGGGCTTTACAAGGGGTGTCCCTCAATGGAAGCTCTATATATATATATATATATATATCTATCTATCTATGTCATTTTTTATTATAACAAAAAATTAAGGTTTATGAAGACATATTTGACAATTTCAGAAATTTTTCATTAAAAATTTGCTTTGTTAGGGTCTTGATCAAGATTGTCTTCGAATAATTTTAATGTATTCTTGTTTCAAATAATTTTGATGTATTCTTGTTAAGGATGACAATTGCCGAAGCCCGAGCCTAAGCCTTGCCGAAGCCCGACTAGGGCTCAGCCCTAAACCAATGCCTTAAGCCCCCTTCGTGCACACTCCAAAGACCCGAATGACCCATTTGGCCTTCTTGCCGAACGGCAAACGTCGGGCCGAGCTACTAAAACAAAAAAAACAAATGAACAAAATACAAAATACAAAAAAAGTGACGAAACAGCCTTGCCTAACGGCCAAGGCCTATGCTGAAGAAAAGAATGGCTCACCAAAATTTTTACAATTCTATCTTGCCAAAAGCCCAAGTCTAAAGCCTTATCCTATTATTTTAAAACTCTCCCCGAAGCCTACCCAAGCCTTGCTGAAGGTTACCAAGGCTAGGGATGACAATAATACCTGTCGGGTTGGGTCCCCGCCTCTAACGGGGGAAGTTTTCGGGGGGAAATCGGGGCTGGGTATGGGAATCCCCGAATTTGCAAAATCCCTGGTTGGGGATGGGCCGGGGATGATATTGTTATCCCCATCCCCGAATCAGGCCCGATAAGTAATTTATTTATTTATAATTAATATATATTAATATAATATAATATATTAATATAATATAATAAACGAAGTTACCCTAGCGTCGCTCCTTATTCCTTATACATTGCATAGGGTTGGCACGCACAGCGGCATAGTCAAATGAACTTATCTGATACATTGTTTAACCAAACTTGGCAACAACATAGTGGATTGGTCTGCTGCTTTTATTGGTTGTTAGGAAAACCAAAATCCTCAAACAGACCATGAATGATGAGGAAACAAAGTGGAAGGTTAAAACTCAGAAGTGTTTACAAAAAAGCTAAGTTTTTGTACGCCATCAAGTAGGCAATTTATGAAAACCGGGGATTGGGCGGGTATGGGAGGCACTTCCCCGACGGGGACGAGGACGGGGATTCCCCGAAAAGCTTAAACTGGGGATTGGGGCGTGGACGGGGATGGGAACGGGGATGGTATTGTCATACCCAGCCCCTAATCGGCATGTTGCCATCCCTAACCAAGGCCCATGCCATGCCCTAGGCTCATAATCAGGCCAAGCCGAGACCACCTTGGGCCCCTTGCCGAACGGCAGGGACCATGCCGAAGGCCCAAATAGGCACGCAAAATTTTTCTATTGCCAAAACTCATGCCTAGCACCTGAGCCATACCTTCAAAAGTTGACGCAACTTCTAACTTGTCAACTTGGGGGACTAGGGAACGCCCTACGACTCCCACTAATCAGTTATGCTCAATCATGATTATACAAGAAACTCACAAGTTCCCAACCCATAAGTTACTTCTTGATCGCAAACTTGGGGGACTACTGTTTACACCATATATATAAATCAGGTTAATTAACAAGAAAACATATCATACAAGAAAAGAAATAAAAATAACAAAAGTCATATAAAGAGGAGCACACTGAATCATATAAGAATAGAGAGAAATCTTAGTTAGATATAGGATTGCAACAATATGAGGGAGCTCTCTCTCGATCTCACCCATTCTTGTCCTCACCAAATCGACGGCGATGGCTTAGGCGGCGGCGTTGTCGTCGCTCTCTCTCTCTCGACCTCACCCTTCTCTCTCTCTGTCACCTCTCTACCTCGTATGATTCAATTGATTTTAAGGTAAACATATTAGTTTTTAGGGTTTTATGAAATTTTTTGTATATCTTTATGCTTTTTTTTTTTGTTAGATTTGCTTAGTAGATCATTAGGGTTTCGAAATTTTGGTATTTTGTTGAAATTAACGATTTTTTCTTAGTTTTACAGCTTAGTCTCTGCAAGTTTCAATTAATAGGCAAAAATGAAGTTATAACTATTTCTCTGTCTTAATCTCTAGGCTAAGATCTTATTAACATAAAAAGTTTAAAGTTTGGTTTTAATCTCTAGGCTAGGATCTGTCAAAGATGAAGAGACGGCCAGTAAACTGGTGGACAACAGCCTCTAGCAAGTGATGAAAAAATGTTTCTCTGTGAGACGTTAGCCTCCAGCTCATGCGATTGAAGAAATCAAGGTTGAGCAAATGGCATTCTGGGTGCAAGTGAGAGGGATACCCTTTAATCTATGCCATGAGGACAACATGTTCAAGATAAAGGATAAGATTAGAGATATGATCGAGTACGAAAACCCAAACCATGCTAGAGGTTTTCTTAGATTTTGAGTCTGGGTAGATATTGTGGGATTTCTGCTACAAATGCTAGAGAATCGGGCACTACTCGAATGAATGCTAGTTTGAAGCACCCTTAGAGGGCACTGCTGCCTATGGTGACTAGACCCACACTATCATTATTCGAGAATTCTACGAGCTAAAATCAAGAAACATCATCACAGGTGAACAGAGAAGAGCAGCTACATTCAATAGAAGGGCCAAACAGAAAGAGGATGGAGCACGTGCAGGCAAGTGGAATCGAAATGATGTGGGTATTGCTTCCCAACAACTGACAAGTCAGATTGGGGTCAGACGAGATGATAGAGCAGATAGGGATCTGAGCATCCAACGGTATACCAATCTGCCAACCCCCTTCATCGACCCAATCAAATTTGACACCAAGAACAAGAAGTTGTCCAGATCTTTGGTCTCGAGGAGGATTCGAGGCAAGAGCAGAGCTTATCCTTCAGGAATTAAACGTGGTCTCCTCCATCACTAGACTAGCAAACAAGACGGGCCCCATGTCTTTTGAAGAAATGAAAGAGTTGGCCAATGCCCAAATGAAGAAAGGTAATGTCTTTATTACAAATTGGACACGTCCAGGGCCAAACTCCAGGGTCGAGATGATGGATTTAGGCCCATTTGGTTAGCCTATTCAGATCAAGCCAATCTTACAAAACCATTTTCAGTATACTCAGAAGAATTTTAAGGCTCAAGCAAGTTCCCCTGGAGAATTGGGAACATGTCAAAAAAGAGTGGCAGCGCGTACGGAAGAACATACTTATGAATCCCCTGGGAAAAAACAAAAAGGTGTTATCCTGGAAGTGTTTCATGATGATGGTAGCAATGGAAAACCGATGGGCGATGGTATGGCCAAAACCGATTGAAGAAGGGTTTATCTTATAGGGAAGAAGGGCTCTAAACAAGGAAAGTCAAAGACCCTGTGCCTATTCATGGATGAGGTGAATTTACAAGAAGTAACGATGCATCAAACTGAACACTGGCACTCTATTGGTGACGAAATTCAATGAGCCACATAGTTTGGAACTGTCAGGGACTTGGGTCGAACCTGATAGTTCGAGTCCTACACGGGCTCATTTGGAAGCACAGACCCTTTGTTGTCTTCCTAATGGAAACAAAAATGCGTGACGACAGAATTTCGAGTGTTCGAATGAGAATGGGTTTTATTGACAATTTCAATGTGCCCCCAGTTGGATCTGCGAGGGGTCTTAGTCTATGGTGGGATGAAAGTGTTAAGGTGACAATATGGAGATCCTCTCAAAATATGATTGATACAAAGGTGGAGATAATTCAAATAGGCCAGGAATACAGAGCCACATGGATTTATAGTACTCCATATAAAGAAGAGAATGGGCTTTTCTAGAGATGGCCGGGTAATATTCTTCCGGCATGTACGACCCCATGGTTTAAATTGCAATAAAATCAAATTACAATGATCAAATTGTCATAACTGAAACCATATAGACGAAAGTAGAAATTTCATCAAACTACAAGGATTAAAAGTAAAACCTAGCAGCCACTCAATCCCACCCAATAGGCCCCTCACCCCCTCCCTCCCCTGTTCACCGCTAGCCCTCTTCTTTGTTTCGCTCCCTCTCTTGCTGTCTTTCCCTCTTTCTTCTATATCTCTCACTTCCCCTCCCTTGAAGTTGGTAATTGTTGTTGATGTTGATTTGATCCAACCCCGTTAGAATTCAGTGGCAATTCAAACACTATTCCCTCATTGCCATACTTGGTGGCTCGAATTAAAGATGCCATAACCACATTTTCATCAGCTAATTCTTCTTGGCCACTTGGTTACAATTGGTACAAAAAAAAAAAAAAAAAAAAAAAAAAAAATTTAACTTGTTGGTACTTCACGTTAGTGTCTAATTCCAATGGAGACCCCAAAGCCGCCCTCCCTTGCCGCTTCTTCGGATTCCTACGCATTTCACCTACAAGCATGCCTCAGAAAGAGAGACTTATTTTCTGGGAAATCAATCCATGCCCAAATCATCAAATCCGGGCTTCACTTCGGAGTGTTCTTAATGAATAACCTTATGAGCTTGTACATGAAAACTGGGTATTCTTTGGATGCTCACCGTGTGTTTGAGGAAATGCCTGTGAGGAATACACTTTCCTGGAATGCGATTCTCTCTGCTTATGCAAAGCAGGGAAAATTTGATGCAGCACGTAGAGTTTTCAATGAAATGCCTGAACGCGACTCTGTTTCATGGACTTCCATGATCGTGGGTTACAATCAGATGGGTCGTTTTGGTAATGCCATTCAGATGTTTGTAGATATGATTTCAGATGGAGTTACGGTAACCCAGTTCACGATTACTAATATTCTTTCCGCATGTGCTGCTGTTAAAGCTTTGGATGTTGGTAGGAAGGTTCATTCGTTTGTTGTTAAACTTGCAGTTGGTAGTTATGTTTCTGTTGCAAACTGTCTTCTAAACATGTATGCAAAATCTGGTGATCCAAGGACAGCGAAGATTGTTTTTGATAGGATAAGATTGAAAAACACATCGAGCTGGAATGCTATGATTTCTTTGCATATGCAATGTGGTCGTGCTGACCTTGCTCTTGTTCAGTTTAAGCAAATGACAGAACGCGACATCGTTTCTTGGAATTCAATGATTGCAGGATACAATCAGCATGGGCTTGATATGGAGGCACTGACTATCTTCTCAAGTATGCTCAAGGATTCTTTTCTAAAGCCCGACAAGTTCACTTTGTCAAGTGTTTTGTCAGCTTGTGCTAACCTTGAGAAGTTGGAAATCGGGAGACAAATCCATGCCCTTATTATAACAGCTGAGCTTGACACATCCCAAGCAGTGAAAAATGCTTTGATCTCAATGTATGCTAAGTCTGGTGGGTTGGAAATTGCTCAAAAGTTTTTAGAGCAATGTGTGACTTCAGACCTCAATGTTATAGCTTTTACTGCCCTATTGGATGGATACATAAAGCTTGGGGATATGAACCCAGCCAGACAGATATTTGATTCATTGAGAGACCGTGACGTGGTTGCATGGACAGCAATGATTGTTGGTTATGTGCAAAATGGGTTGAATGATGATGCTTTGGAGCTCTTCAGGGAGATGATAAATGAAGGCCCCAGACCAAACAGCTACACCTTAGCGGCTATGTTAAGTGTTAGTTCAAGCATGGCTTCTTTAGACTACGGTAAACAAATTCATGCAAGTGCCATGAGGTCAGGGGAAGTGTACTCAGTTTCTGTGAGCAATGCTCTAATTTCAATGTATTCCAAAGCTGGAAGCATCAATGGTGCAAAGCAAGTATTCAATTTGATTCACTGGAACAGAGATACTGTTTCTTGGACTTCCATGATTATAGCCCTGGCCCAACATGGTCTTGGGGAAGAAGCCATTGAACTTTTTGAGAAGATGCTGTCACTTGGTATTAAGCCTGACCATATAACATATGTTGGCGTGCTTTCGGCCTGTATACATGTGGGACTGGTGGAACAGGGCAGGAGCTACTATAATTTGATGAGGAACGTACACAAAATTGAACCCACCCATAGCCATTATGCATGCATGATTGATCTGCTTGGGCGTGCTGGATTGCTTCAAGAAGCGTTCAATTTTACACAAAGTATGCCAATTGAGCCAGATGTTATAGCTTGGGGTTCACTTTTATCTTCTTGTAAGGTTCATAAAAATGTTGATCTGGCAGAGGTTGCAACAGAAAGATTGCTGCTTATAGATCCAGACAACAGTGGGGCCTACTCATCCCTTGCTAATTTGTATTCAGCTTGTGGAAGATGGGCAGATGCTGCACAAGTTAGAAAGTCAATGAAGGATAGGAGAGTGAAGAAAGAACAAGGATTTAGTTGGATTCAGATTCAAAACAAAGTCCATGTGTTTGGGGTTGAAGATGGAGGTCACGCACAGAGAGATGCAATCTACAAGATGATGGAAAAGATATGGAAAGAGATCAAAAATATTGGCTTTATTCCTGACACTGAATCAGTATTGCATGATGTTAGCGAAGAAGCAAAGGAGAAGATGCTTAAATACCACAGTGAGAAACTTGCCATTGCTTTTGGGCTAATAAATACTCCAGAGAACGCTACACTGAGGATCATGAAAAACCTCAGAGTTTGTAATGACTGTCATTCTGCCATCAAATTTATATCCAAGCTTGTGGGCAGAGAAATCATTGTGAGAGATGCAACTCGTTTTCACCATTTTAAGAATGGGCTGTGTTCTTGTCGGGACTATTGGTAGGCATAGGCATAAGCATGAGGATTTAAACATAGTTTGATGCTCAAGTGTACATAAATTGATGTTTGTAGTATTTGCTATCAGGAAGATGGTTGATAATTGGAAAAGAGAGCAGGTGACTGTAGCCAAACCTGTTGGTTCCATACTGCTTGCTATTAGAAGCCTCTTAGATTGAGTTTCACTTTTGGAACTCTTTTTTCGGAAATCATGTTAGCATGTTGGGAGACATTACAATATGGCAATTGGTAGTGCTGCTATACCTTGGAGGTGCATTGTCTTTGAAAGAATTATTTGCCACAGATTCTAACATGGTTAGGGTGCTGACAGCCAGAAGTGAAAACAATGGTTTTTGTTATTTTGATATACATTATCGTGTCATTCTCTAACAGCTTAAACATTTGCGGTCAAGTGGTAATCTAATATGGTATCAGTGGTTGTAGAAGGTCCTCCTGGTTTAAACCTCCCATTCCTATTCCGTACTTTTAAGGTTTTTTTTTGGATTGAAGAGGTAAATTATCTCCCTAATTGTTTGGTTTTCTGTAGGGATTTCGTTTCATTGATGAGTTAAACCCTAATCCCCAATCAAGACATGCTTCATTGGGAATTAGGGTTGTTTTTAATCTGAAACCCAATCAAGAATCAGGGTTCTGTGATGAAGAACCCTAATTCCCAATTAAGACACAGAACTCAAATTCCAATTAAGCGTTTCTTAATTAGGGTTCTGTTTATTTTCTTGATTGGCTGAGAACAGAGCCATAAAGATTGTATTTAGTGTGTGTTCTTCTGCATGTTATCTTTTCCAAGTTATTTTCTCTTTCTGTGATGTAATAACAAATAAAAAATAAAAAATTTGGTGCTTTCTTGGTGGATATATACGCAGAAGTACTCTGTGTGATTTTCAAGGTTTCTGCTATTAAGGTTTACTTTCTCATTTTCAGGTCAGTTGATCACCAGTTGAATTTTGATTGTTTTGCTACGGGTGGAGTTGGAGTAGATATATGAAACCACAACAGGTTTTGTTCCTGCCCTGGTTATTCTTCTATTAAGTAAAAAAAAACTGTTTATCCCTCCTACCATGACAATGACTTTGTGATGCATAGGTCTGTTCCAGAGCAGAGTTTTGAATGGGGAACATATACAGTTGTATCTGTTCGGTTTAATTCTGGACAGCCAGATATCTTGGCAACATCAGCAAGGTATGCATTGATGCTTGTAGATAAGATACTCATCTAGTTATAAAAACTAGTACATCAAGTACATTAGATACCATACCATGTGCTTGTTTATAATGGTTTTTGGTCCTGGATACATTGCTTTCTAATTTGAGCTTGCAGCTACATTTGTTTTGGTGTAATAAGGAATGGTACTGATAAAGGACTCAAGTATATAGCATCTTGAGAAACGTTTCTTGTAAAAGAAGGTTCAGCTGCAAAGGGCAGCTTGTGTGCTGGTCAGCGTCCATTTTTCTTATGGAAACATGTTCCTCTTCCCCCTTGTACTCTCTTCCTCTAATATACCATGAATTTGAAGGAAATTTGAAATTTTCAATATTACCAAAAATCTGCATATCTTTCTGCTATTCTGTGAACATGTAGTAAAGGGCCAAACCGGCAATTAGTTCATCCATTTTGGGAAGTTGGTGGTTTCTTTTGTTACAACGACATAATTGGTTTCAATCCATGCTTTCTGTAATGATTTTATTCCATCTTTCCTTGTTTGTAATGATATTTAGGAGAGAAAATTATAAATGATATCTTTTTTTTCTGGGTAGTGATTGCAGCATATGACTCGCGCATGGGGTAACCACGGCGAAGAAGTTTACATGAGGGTAGGTAATATTGATGCTAAATTATCACTGTCTGATTTAGCCCCTTATTTTACTGTTGTTAATGTCAAGGTAAGGTTCTTAGCAATATTTGTTGATTTCTCTTAAATTTTCGCATGTATTGGCCTTTCTGACTTGCATTCTCTTTTTTTATATTATCAAATAACTTGCATTCTCTTTGGACAGACAAAAAATGATGGGAAATCAAAATATTCTCCTACAGAGTCTCTGGAAATGGATCTGAAGATTATTTGGATGGTCAAGGGCTCAGGATGATTGCCACTTTTGAATTCAATCTGACGCCCAATTTCGTAGTTTGATGTTGAAGCCCAATGCAAAGAAAATTTGGGCTTCATATTTAACGTCCAAAAGTTGAAAATTATATTTTCAACCAATTACTTTCGTGTACGTTAGGCTAGTTGGCAAAGGCATTGTGCATGTCCCTTTGCACCCGTATTCGATCCCATTCTCATACATTACAATAATTAAAAATATTGAATTGTAAAAAACAAAAACCTTGGAGTTATATTACAACATTTTGAGTTTTTAATCTTATAAGATTTTTCAGACCCAAAAAAACCTTACAAGATTTTTGCATGCCATTTAAAGCCCTATGTCACTTTGTGAAACAGTATTTATACAAAATTCTTTATATGAAAACCAATGGAAATGTGGGATCCCATTGGTTCCTAAAAGCCCCTGGGCCAAAAATCATCTCTTCAAATATTGTTTTACATCATTTGTGCACACAAAGCTTAATTCACATGAGTAGTGGGCATTATCGCATAGATGGAAAATTGGATATCCATAAAATGATGAAAATAGTTCGATTGAGCCGGGACTTCATCATATTCTTTCCAACTAACTCCAATATTACACGCCATTATGGGACTGAAAAAAGAAATGTCCGGTACACTTTAATAATCGCATCTAGTGATCTCATGCAGGGATGGTTAAAGAACCCTATATCTTTTAAGTTTATCGTATCTATCTATACTATTATTATTTTTTGTGAGTAAAAGCAATAATAGGTAGTACAATCAAAGCTTCTACTAAGATCAAAAGGATTAGCGAGCATCTCAACATATAAGAGCTCGCATTGATATCCAAGTAGTAGCTACAATCTTATCGCATAGCAATTAGAAAGACCCCACCACTGATAGAGCATCCATTTTCCCCTATATTCCTCGATTTGGAAAAAGACATTAAGAATTGCAGTCCTCAAAAAATGCATCAGAAATAAAATCTGGAGGCTACTCAAATCTCATTCTAGAATCTTCAATATGTAAAGCAAATTTCGAGAACTGATGAGCAATTTCATTGGTTGTGTGACGGATTGGATAAAAACTTATTTAAGTACCATAGATCATCACCGTGGATTATGTACCAATGTGAAATTCAGGAATATGATCGTGACTCGTGAGGAGGAATAGCACAGCATATGATATTGTCCCCACTTTTTCTAGCTAAATGTACAAAGGACACGTGTTAGGAACCCAAACATGGCTGCCCTCTATATATATCTTGAAAAGATTCGGAGCATCCTAGTACGTAGTAGTATGTAAACCTTTGCTTTCAAAGATATTGTTTGGCTTCAAAAGGAAAATGCCGAAATCGGTTTTGGTTATTCATAGAATGTGTATGGTGAGAGTTGAGCATGAGAATATGTTCCTTTTCCATAGAATATTTGCAGACGATTGACAACTAGTATTGGAAATGGTAACCACCCATGCGCCTTTCTTGTAACCATCAACAGCCCACCAAACCAATGTCAGAATTTTTATTGTTGTGGCGTGGATAGAAATTACGAAGCCTGCCAAAATTGGCACCAGATGCCAATCAATCAAGCCCCATAGGCCAAAGGAGAGTCTGTCTAGGACAGCAGATGATGAGAGAGAGAGAGAAAGCACTCTCCAAGTGACATTGTCCTTCCTCTGCTTTGTGTGGCTACTTGCCACTGCTAGTGTCCAACAAGGCCTAGGGTTTGTCTAGCTCAGCTTTGTCAGCCATCAACAAGGCTTAGCTGAAATGCACGATGAAACCCTTTTAGCTTACAGCACAATGTCATTGATTCCCTCATATTGCTTAAATATAAATATAAATACAAATATAGTAGCATGAAAGCGAAACGAAATATATATATACAAAAGTATATATTTTAGTACAAGTGATTGGAAAAAGGCAATTTACACAAATATTCATTAGATGTCCGGGGATTTCGAATCTCTCAACTGAATAGAGGTGAAAAAGCTCAACCAATTGAATTATATCCCACTGACAAAAGCAAAAGGAAATATTTACCTAGAAAACTAGAAAACTGCCAAAATCCCTTAAATAATGATTGATATGCTCTTTATTACTATGTGATTAATTAAACAATGTTCAAATGGAAGGCGTGGTTCTACAAGAAATGATTGTGACAACTCACGATATCATATGGACTGATTTTTTTCTCCTCACATTTGAGGCGTTAATGGGGGTCATGCTTCTAATCTTAGCCAAAATTTGATAGGTCCAGTTTGACTAATGGTTGGCGAACAAATTTAATAGCGACAAGGGTTAAAGGTTAGTCCTCTAATCAAACAAGGGGCACTGGCAAGGGGTCCTCTCGATTTTGTAACTCGACACGGCAAAGTCCTTTTTCTACCCCTTTTTTTTTGGTCCACATGATTCCCATTCCAATCGAGTTTGGGTGTATAGGTTGCCTAGGAGAGAGGTGCATATGTCGACGGGTAAATATGAAGGACATATTCTTTTTTTTATACAAATGACTTTAAATTAATTTAATTTATAAAAAGAATTATTCGAATTTGGGTGTGAGGGGGTCGGCTCACTGTCCTAATTAAAGAGACCCACATTTATAGACCATCTTATGTGCTATCTTTCTAAACTTTTATGGACCACGCTCGTATTCAATAAGGGCAGATTTCTTTTTCCGCCCCTAAGTTTATGACCTAACTCTTGCCCTTTTTTTGGGTAGTGACGTACGTGAACAATGAGATGCGTTGAAATGCATCTCAACCAGTTATTATCTCTAATAGTCAGCGAGCACAGGTGCATTTTTAATTGAAATCTTTGTTGTAAAATAATGATATACAATGCTTTTTTAATTTCAAATTTGTAACACAAGTGAGGTTTATATACTTTAATATGAGAAGGTTGACTGCGCTCAATCTAAATAATACTCAAAATGTGATGCAATTACGGGACATCTCATAATTTTTTTTAAAAAAAATATGATGTATATGTATACATACTTTAAATTTTATTTATTTATGAAAATATACGAACTTTCATTTAAGTTGTGTTGAACTATGTAATCTGCCAGAATTTTAATCCAGAACTTTCGAAAGGGTTTGATAGCTCAGTCCATTAAGCTAAACTTTATGGATAAAATGACTTCTTCTCTCTTATTTTCTGCCTAATTATGAGCATTAAAAAAATAAAGTAGGAAAATGTCAACTGTTTGTGCCCTTTCAGGATACCTAAGTACACATTTCTTCGACCTTTTGTTGCCCTCAAATCTTATATGACTAAGATAGATGCTTAGAAGTGTAGACATATCAAACTTCTACCTCTAGGAAGAACAACAAATAGAAACGTATGTATTGTTGAGTTATCACCTAACAATTAATTAGAAGTGTAGGCATATCAAACTTCTAACAATTAAGTTGATTCAGTATATGCAGGTTAAGCCAATTGGTTAAGATAGTGCGTTTGTCATTTCTTCGTAATTTAGAATATTTTAGAGTATTAAAGTATCTCTTTGTAAAACAAAACAATACCATATTCCAATGAGCTTCGATACGTCTTATGTGTACCAAATGTTGAGTTAAAGAATATATAGAATGTGATGCTACAATTAGACATTGCATATACATAGACTGTCGAATTGTATAATTTGTTTGTGACGAGAGTTCCATAAGCAATCTGATAATGAACTAGTCAATTTATCAAGATTTGTAAAAACTATATATATATTTTTTTAATCGTGACCTTTGTAGCTTTGAAACCAATGCATATAAAATATAACCAACATCTTACATCATAGATGACAACAACAATGTCAAAATATTTTATTTTTAAATTTGGATCAAGTGGATACTTTTTTTTTTTCCCTTGTTAATGTAAAAATACAATTAACATAGCTTGAAGTTGGGCCTTCCATAATTTCAGTTCTTAACGAACAAGAGGTGTCCTACAAAGGAAAACAAATCTGACAGTTGTTATAGTTACTTTTTACGATTCCATTATTTTTCTGGTTATTAAGAAAAAAAAGGTATAAATAAAATATTTTACGTACCATTTGACGAAGAAATAAATGTGATGTGGAGATGTAGAGTACAATCAAACCTTAGAATAGTCGCTGTCCCAAAAAGAAAGAGAGCCTTATGGTAGTCATGCAAAT